AAGGTGGGGCTCCATGCAGGGCTCAATCCCAGGCCCCTGAGATCATGACCTGAGCCAAAGTCAGACAATTAACTGACTGAGCCACCCAGGCGCCGCAGGGAGGGTAGTTTTAGAAGCCAAGGAAAGAGAATGTTCCCCCTACTGATGCTGTTCAAGGAGGAAGATGAACTTTGGGACAGCCTGTGGCGAAGGAGCCAGTAGAGGAAGAACTGGAAGGTCAGAAAGAAAAGGAGAGGACAAGATTAAGTGAGGAAGGATTCTTGAATAAAGGGGCCACCCCTTGGTCCAGACCAATTTGAGACTAAAGGTAAGAGTATCTGTGTAGCTACCAGTAAGTTTATGCCAGGATGTAGGCTGGGGGGCGGCGGCAGCAAGGCTGACCTGTCAGTCTGGCTCAGTAAGTGCCTCCTAAGTGCCCAGATGGTGCCTGGTGCATGGAAGGTGCTTAGTAAACATCCACTCATTGAACAGAGTGTGGGTGTCAGAATCATGGTAGCTCCCGTCTGTTGGGAGAATGGGAGGTTGTCTTCTGAAAGGAAAGGGAGGGAGCGGGATGGGAGTTTACTGAGCAGAGAGAGTGGTAGGAGAAAAGGAGGGGACACTCTCTTAAATGCCCAAGGATTGAATTAAAAGGCATGCAAAGGTTGGGGCACCTGGCTAGCTCAGTTGGTGGAGCATGAAACTCTTGATCTCAGGGTTGTGAGTTTGAGTCCCATGGTAGGTGTAGAGATTGCTTAAAAACAAAATCTTTAAAAAAAAAATAAAAAGGTATGCAAGGGAATGTAAATTGGTGCACCCGCTATGGAAAATGATATAGAGGTTTCTCAAAAAATTAAAAAATAGAGCTACCATATAATCCAACAGTCCTACTTCTGGGTTTATTTCCAAAGGAAATGAAAACAGGACTTCAAAGAGATTATCTGCACGCCCATGTTCATTGCAACATTATTCACAATAGCCAAGATACGGAAACAACCTGTCAGATGAATGGATAAAGAAGATGTGGTGTGTGTATGTATATATATATATACATACACATACACACAATTGGAATATTATTCAGTCAAAAGAAAGAAAGACATCCTGCCATTTGGGACAATGTAGATGGACCCGGAGGTCACGATGCTAAGTGAAATAAACCAGACAAAAACAAATACTGCATGTTATCCCTTATATGTGGAAGCCTAAGAAAAGAAAAAAAAAATCTAACTCCTAGAAACAGAGTAGAAAAGTGGTTGCCAGGGGTTGGGGAATTGAGGAAATAGGGAGAGATTGGTAAAACGGTGCAAACTTTCAGCTATAAGATGAAGGAGTCTGGGCACCTGGGTGGCTCAGTCGGTTAAGCGTCTGCCTTCGGCTCAGGTCATGATCCCAGGGTCCTGGGATCAAGCCCCGCATCGGGCTCCCTGCTCAGCGGGAAGCCTGCTTCTCTCTCTCCCTCTCCCCCGGCTTGTGTTCCTGCTCTCACTGTCTCTGTCAAATAAATAAATAAAATCTTAAAAAAAAAAAAAGATAAAGGAGTCTGAGGAGCAAATGTAAAACATAGTGACAACAGTTGATAATACCATATTGTATAATCGAAATTTGCCAAGAGTAGAACTTCAGTGTTCTCACCAAAACAGAAAAGATAAATATCTGAGGTGATGGATATGTCAATTAACTAACCAGGGGAACCCTTTCAGTGTCTAGTATATGAAATCACCATGATGCGTCCACTTTTAAATATCCTACAATTTTAAATGTCAATTATACCTCAAAGCTGAAATTTAAAAGACAAACGCAGAGCATCTAAAAATAAATGAAAGGTGAGTAAACACCAGATGAAATAAATTGCTTATAGCCAGAACAGGAAAGAGCAGATGATGGCTTTGAGCAGGCAGGGTGGACCTCCCTTGCAAGGTCCAAATGCACTAGACCTTGGATGAAGGGAAATTGTGGTGTGAGCCTGCCCTAGCATATAACGGGGTGGCAAACAAGAGATCCTGCCTCTCCACTCTGTGCCCTTCTGCCTGTGTTTTTCATCTATTCAATGAAGGCAGGAATTATTTTTCCCTTTTCCAAGGCTATGACTAAGTATTAAGAGTAAAGCCAAGATGGCTCAGATCCATATCCTCAGGGGTTCTAAATCGGAGATTCCAGAAAGGAAACCATAAGTGGCTTACCCAAATGCCCAGAAACTTAAGTAAGGTTCCCTCCAGTGTGATTCTCCTGCTGCCAGGATTCCAATGCTCTCCTCTATCCCTGTAGAGGGATAACCAGGACCGCAGGGTCTGTAACTAGGATCCCAGGGTCTACACAGAGTAGAGTGGCAAGAGCATAGGAGTTTGGTTTCCAAATGCTGCTTTTTTTTTTTTAAGTTTTCTAAAAATGACTTACTTGTTGTATTGCAAAGCACACACATGGTATAAAAGTACACAGAGTTCAAAAAGATGCACAGTAAATGGTCTCCTCCCTCCATGTCCCCTGGCCACTGTGTCCCAGGACAATGCCAGCAGCAGTCTCTTGCATATCCTTCCAGATCCAGTCACTGCATTTGCAAATAGACACGTGCGTATTTATTATATTGACCACAAATGCTATCTACATACTATACACTCATGTGGACTCGCCCTTTTTTATTGACTAGATTTATCCTGGAACTCCACATCAGTGCAGGCAGAGCTACCTCGTCTTTTTTAATAGCTACAGAGCATTCCTCATGTGGAAGGATCCTTTATTTAACTATTTGTCCTTACTTCTGGGCATCTGGGTTTGTTTGCTATGTGTTGCTTCTACCAACTGCCATAGTAAATAAACTTTTTACACACTTTATTTTGCACATTTACAATTATACCTGTAGAATACTTAAATGGAGAACAGTGGGGTCAAAGTGTGTGATCTTTCACATTTCAATCGATGCTCTGCCAAGTGTGGGGGTTTTGGTGTCAGCTCCAGCCAAGGGTGATCCCACCTGCCCCGGCTGGGGCTATCTGCTGCCCCCAGAGCTCCGGGGCTGAGACAGCACTCTACATTTCGGCAGAGGAGGAGGATGTGGGAGAGGTGTGAGGTCACCACATCCACTGGGTATCGCTCTAATTCTTTTCCTCGAATTTTCCTACTGGGAGTCTGACCAGCCTCTGACACGAGCCCACAGCCGCGGGTACTGCCTTGAACAGCCACTGGCCATCTCTTCTGCTGCTCGGCACAGCCCTCTTGTCAGTCCCCACTACCGACTGCACTTGTCTGCACTGAGGGGCCCACTCTGGGCACCCAAGGGCACCTCTGCACCCCCAAGACCCAGCCGGCCACAGTGGGCCTCACATCAGGGTGAGGGGGTCCCACAGCCCACTGGAGGGAGTCTATACATCTTCAGAAGGGTAAACTCCAATTCCCAGATCCAGACCTCCAGGAACCCAATGCTTCAGTTAGGCCCCAACCAGCAAAGAAAAACTGCCTTTTTTTTTTTTAGGTTTTATTTATTTATTTGACACAGAGAGAGAGAGCGCGCACAAGCAGGCGGAGCGGCAGAGGCAGAGGGAGAAGCAGGCTCCCCGTGGAGCAGGGAGCCCGACCCGGGACTCCATCCCAGGACCCTGGGATCAGGACCTGAGCCCCAAGGCAGACGCTCAGCCGTGGAAGGCTAGTCCACTGAAAGGCCGCGGCGGAGGTGGAGGGACAGGGACTGCTTCCAGGGCAGTTGCTCAAAGCAGAGGGTCAGCGCTCTGGGCAGGGGGAGGGGAAGGAAGGGTGCAAGGCAGCAGTGAGCACCCCACTGGCCTTGAGAGGAATTCACAGCCTCAACTCCAGGGCACCCAGCTGGTCCCTGAGCCCAGAGGCCTGGGGTGTCTGCCTTTGTCTTCTCAGTTCCCCACTGCACCAGTGGCCAGGCCTGTTCCCCAGGAGACAGAGCCTGGGGGACAACCATCCTGCTCCAAGCAGGGGCCCAGAAAGGCTCTCATTCCCACCTCCCCAGCACCAACCCGCTTCTGCTCTCCAGGGGCTCCTCCCCTCCCCCTCCTCTCCCTCTGGACTGTTACCCTACCCTCTACTTCACAGAGGAAAACAAACCTCCCCAGGGCACTCTCCCAGCCTGATTTATATCCAGCCAAGTCCCTAGCTCCCCTTCAAGGTTCCAGGGGAAGCTGGAATCATTTCTAAAACAACACCCTTTCTCCTGAGCCCTCCCCACCCTGCTGGGGGCCCACTGCAATGATCTCCCTCAGCCACACCTTCCATTTCAATACCTCCTCTTTTCTATTATCCTTCACTGGAGCAAGCTTCTGGAATCCTTGAGAAAAGATGTGCCAGTCCCTCTCAGGCCCTGCAGGGGCCTCCAGCCCCACGCTCTGGGGGGACCCCATACACCCCCTTGGTTGCTAGCCCAAAGGACACTTTAGATCTTATCTTTCTGGACCTCTCTGTGGCTTCTTTCTCTTGACCACATCTTCTCCCCAGCCTTCTTCCTCCTCCCTTCCATCCTCTGCTGGGATCTGTACACATACTCACCCATATGTGTTGTGATTGGTGTTTTAGGGGCAAAGAAGAGCACTCAACCCAGTCTAGGGATAACAGGAGGACTCCTGGAAGAGATGGTTGAGTCCCGAGAGTTGACCAGGAGGCCAGGGATGGGGGAGGTCATCTCAGGCAGGGGGCCTACTGGGAAAAGGCCAACAGTCCAGTTGGCTAAATCCTGGAGGTCTTAGCGGGGCACAGGACCATGAGTAGGATGAGGGCAAATGAGGCAGTTGGATGCAAAATTTAAGGCCAAACTCGGTAATCAACATGATACTATAATGCAAGATTTAAAAATCAAAATTAATATGAGAAAATACATGAACAGGGGTACCTGGGTGGCTTAGTCACTTAAGCATCTGCCTTCGGCTCAGGTTATGATCCCAGGGTCCTGGGACGGAGCCCTGCATTGGGCTCCCTGCTCAGCAATGAGCTTCTTGAGGTTATGCAGAATTTATCCTAAAAGGATTCATCCTTTTATTGGTGCTCAGTAAATACTGATTCCATGAATGATGCCCACATGCCATAGGGCTACTGGAGGAACCTCATGACTAGCCATGGAGATCCCAGAACTCCAACCGGTGTTCCAGAGACTATGGAGATCCCAGATACTCCAGCTGTCTCCAGGTCCTAGAGTCTAACCCCAGCCCATGGCCACCTTGTCGGACCAGGGGCACCCTTCCCAGCCAGGTCCTCTCTCTCCTGAATCTCCACTGTCCCCCACTTGGCCTCAGCCTCTGTCCCCATCCAATCCTCTGGTTGTCCTCCTGGCTCTAGGGCCCTGCCCTGTGCAAAGGATTGAAAGGTAAGGTTGAAAGTAGATGAGGGTCTAGACCTCAGCTTTGTAGATTTGGAAACCTGAACTTTAAAGAGGTAATTTATACCTCACACTTAAAAAAAAAGTGTTGGTGAGGATACGGGGAAACTGGAACCCTTGTGCACTGTTGATGGAAATGTAAAATGGTGCAGCTGCTATGGAAAACAGTATGATGATTTCCTCAAAATATTAAAATAGAGGTGCACCTGGGTGGCTAAGTTGGTGAAGGGGCTGCCTTCGGCTCAGGTCATGATCCCAGAGTCCTGGGATCGAGCCCCGCATCGGGCTCCTTGCTCAGCAGAGAGCCTGCTTCTCCCTCTCCTTATGCCTGCTGCTCCGCTCCCCCTGCTTATGCTCTCTCTCTGTGTCAAATAAATAAAATCTTTTTTAAAAATTAAAATAGAATTACCATATGATCCAGCAATACCACTTCTGGGTATATATCCAAAAGAATTGAAAGCAGGGTCTCAAAGACATTTGCACACTCATGTTCAACCAAAAGGTCCCCAATGTCCCATCAACAAGTGAATGGATAGGGGCACCTAGGTGGCTAAGTCGGTTAAGTGTCTGATTTTGGCTCAGGTCATGATCTCAGGGGCCTGAGCAGGGACTCCCACTCAGCAGGGAGTCTGTTTGTTCCTTTCCCTCTGCCCCTCCCCCTGCTCATGCTCTCTCTCTCAAATAAATAAAATGTTAAAAAAAATTTTAAGTGAATGGATAAACAAAATGTGATATATGGAGAGATATATACACACAATGGAATATTACTGAGGCTTAAAAAAGAAATTCTTTTTTTTTAAAGATTTTATTTATTTACTTGAGACGAGAGAGAGAGAGAGAGTGCACAGAGGCAGAGAGAGAAGCAGAGTCCCTGCTGAGCAGGGAGCCCAAAGCCGGGCTCCAATCCCAGGACCCCGGGATCAGGACCTGAGCCGAAGGCAGACACTTAACCAACTGAGCCACCCAGGTGCCCCAAGAAAGGAAATTCTAACACATGCTACAATATGATGAGTGTTGGAGACATTATGTTAAGTGAAATAGGAGAGTCACAAAAAGACAAATATTGTATACTTTCACTTCATGAGTTACCCAGAGTAAACTCATAGAAACAGAAAATAGAATGGCGGTTGCCAGAGGCTGGGAAATGGCGGGGGGGCGGGGGGAATGAAGAGTTATTGTTTAATGAGTATAGCATTTCAGTTTTGCAGGATAAAAAAGTTCCAGGGCTTAGATGCACAACAGTGTGAATATACTTAACACTACTGAACTGTATACTTAATGTTTAAGATGGTAAATTCTATTTCAGGTTTATTTTATCACAATTTTTAAAAAGATAATTTAATTTTTTAAATAAGAAATACATTCAAGAAACCAAACAATATAAAAGGATAGATGGTAAAAAGTATCTCTTGCACTCCTGTCTCCCATTTTCCTGGTTCCTATTCCTTTACCCTGCACAGGTAACTGCTTTTTAAAATGTGTTAACCGGGCACCTGGGTGGCTCAGTCATTAGGCGTCTGCCTTCAGCTCAGGTCATGATCCCAGGGTCCTAGGATCAAGCCGCATCCGGCGCCTGCTTGGCAGGAAGCCTGCTTCTCCCTCTCCTGCTCCCCCTGCTTGTCTCCCCTCTCTCGCTATGTCCCTCACTGTCAAATAAATAAATAAAATCTTTAAAAAATAATAAAAAATAAAATGTGTCAGCCATAAAGGACAAAAACCATATACTCATCTCAACAGATGCAGGAAAAGCATTTTACAAAATCCAACCCCCTTTCTTGATAAAAACACTCAACAAAGAAATAGAATGTTACCTCCTCAGTCTGATAAAGGGCATCTACAAGATTTCCACAGCTAACATCACACTCAATGGTGAAAGACTGAAAGCTTCTCCCCTTAAGATAAACAAGACTGGGGCGCCTGGGTGGCTCAGTTGGTTAAGCGACTGCCTTCAGCTCAGGTCATGATCCTGGAGTCCCGGGATCGAGTCCCACATCAGGCTCCCGGCTCAGTGGGGAGTCTGCTTCTCCCTCTGACCCTCCCCCTCTCATGCTCTCTGTCTCCCATTCTCTCTCTCTCAGATAAATAAATAAAGTCTTTAAAAAAAAAAAAGATAAACAAGACAAGGATGTCTACTCTCACCACTTCTCTTCAACATTGTACTGGAGGTTCTATCCAGGATAATGGGGGTGGGGAAGGCATCTGGTTTGAAAAGGAAGAAGTAAAACTATCTCTACTTGCAGATGAGATTATCTGATATATAGGAAATCCAACAGGATTCCCCCCAAAACTATTAGAGCTAACAAAAAGTTCAGCAAGACTATAGGATAAAAGTGTGCGAAAATCAATTTTACTTCTATAAAATAGCAATGAACAATCAAAAATGGAATTAACCATTTTTTGAGAGAGAGGGTGCATGTGTGTGGGCAGGGTGGAGGGGCAGAGGGAAAAGGAGAGAATCTTAAGCAGGCTCTATGCTGAGTGAGGAGCCTAACACAGGTTTCAATATCACGACCCTGAGATTATGACCTAAGCCGAAATCAAGAGTCAGATGCTTGGGGCACCTGAGTGGCTCAGTCTGTTAGGCATCTGCCTTCTGCTCAGGTCATGATCTCAGGGTCCTGGGATCAAGCTCCGTGTTGGGTTCCTTGCTCAGTGGGGAGCCTGCTTCTACCTCTGCCTCCTCCCTACTGCTCATGCTCTGTCTCTCCCTCTCTGTCAAATAAATAAAGTCTTAAAAAAAAAAGAGAGAGATGTTTAACCAACTGAGCCACCCGGGTGCCCCAATCAAAAATGGAACTAAGAAAACAATTCTGTTGGGGCGCCTGGGTGGCTCAGTCGTTAGGCGTCTACTTTCAGCTCAGGTCATGATCCCAGGGTCCTGGGATCGAGTCCCGCGTCGGGCTCCCTGCTCTGCGGGAAGCCTGCTTCTCCCTCTCCCACTCCCCCTGCTTCTGTTCCCTCTCTCGCTGTGTCTCTCTCTGTCAAATAAATAAATAAAATCTTTAAAAATAAAAAAAAGAAAACAATTCTGTTTACACTGGCATCAAAAAAATAAAACACTTAGGAATAAGTTTAACAAAAGTAGTATAAGATCATACACTGAAATCTACAAAGCAACATTAAAAGAAATCCTGTGTTTGTCAATTGGAAGACTTAATTTTATGAAGATGGCAATACTTCCCAAATAGATATACAGATTCAACACAATCCCTATCAAAATTCCAGCTATTAAAAAAAAAATTCCAGGGCGCCTGGGTGGCTCAGCAGTTAAGCGTCTGCCTTCGGCTCAGGTCATGATCCCGGGGTCCTGGGATCGATTCCCACATCGGGCTCCCTGCTCGGCGGGAAGCCTGCTTCTCCCTCTCCCACTCCCCCTGCTTGTGTTCCCTCTCTCGCTGTGTCTCTCTCTGTCAAATAAATACATAAAATCTTTAAAAAAAAATTCCAGCTATTTTTGCAGAAACTGACAAGCTGATCCCCAAATTCATGTGAACATGCAAGACCCAGGATAAGCCACACAGTGGGGGAAAAGAACAAAGTCTGAGGACACTCTTTCTTACCTCAAAACTGACCCCAAAGCTGTGGTAATCAAGACAGTGTGGTACTGGCATCAAGACTGACATACAGATAAATGGAATAGATTGGAAAGTCCAAAAATAAACCCATGCATTTATGGTCAACTGATCCTAACAAAAGTGCCAAGACAACTCAGCGGGGAAAGACTCTCTTCAACAAATAGTTCAGGGACAACTGGACGACCACATGCAAAAGAGTGAGACTGGACCCTATCTCACATGCAAAAGAGTGAGACTGGACCCTATCTCACACCGTTTACAAAAAATAACTCAAAATGGATCAATGACCTAAATATAAGCGCTAAAACTATCAAACTCTTACAAGAAAGCATAAGCATAAGTCTTTCTGATCTTAGAGGAGGCAATGATTTCCTAGATACAACACCAAAGATATAAGCAACAAAAGAAGAAATAGATACACTGGACTTCAACAAAAGAAAAAAAGAGAGAATTTCGGGGCACCTGGCTGGCTCAGTCTGTAGAACATGCAATTCTTTTTTTTTTTTTAAGATTTTATTTATTTATTTGAGAGAGAGAATGAGAGAGAGAGAGCACATGAGAGGGGGGAGGGTCAGAGGGAGAAGCAGACCCCCTGCTGAGCAAGGAGCCCGATATGGGACTCGATCCCGGGACTCCAAGACCATGACCTGAGCCGAAGGCAGTCGCCTAACCAACTGAGCCACCCAGGTGCCCCATGCAATTCTTTTTTTTGAAAGATTTTATTTATTTATTTGAGAGAGAAAATGAGAGACAGAGAGCAAGAGAGGGAAGAGGGTCAGAGGGAGAAGCAGACCCCCGCTGAGCAGGGAGCCCAATGTGGGACTCGATCCCAGGACTCCAGGATCATGACCTGAGCTGAAGGCAGTCGCTTAACCAACTGAGCCACCCAGGCGCCCAGAACATGCAATTCTTGATCTCAGGGTCATGAGTTTGAGCCCCACGTTGGGTGTAGAGATTACTTAAAAAGAAAAAGAGGTATTTATCTATGCTACAACATGGATGAACTTTGAAAACATTATGCTAAGTGAAAGAAGCCAGATGCAAAATACCACATATTTTATGACTCCATTTATATGAAATATACAAAATCAGCAAATCTTTTTTTTTTTTAAGATTTATCTATTTTTAGAGAGAGAGAGAGTGCGAGTGCATATGAGCTGGAGGAGAGTTAGAGAGGGAGGAGAGAGAGAATCTCAAGCAGACTCACCACTGAGCAGGGAGCCCAACACAGGGCTCGATCCCACAACTCCAAGATCATGACCTGAGCCAAAACCAAGAGTTGGACGCTCAACTGACTGAGCCACCCAGGGGCCCCATCAAATCTTTTTTTTTAAACATGTATTTAAGTAATCTCTACACCCAACATGGGGCTCAAACTCACAAACCCCAGATCAAGAGGTGCAAGATCCCCCAACTGAGTCAGCCAGGTGTCCCCAAAATCAGCAAATCTTTAAAGACAGAAAGGAGATTAGTGGCTTCCAGGGACTAGGGGAAGGGGGATATGGGGAGTGACTGCTAATGGGGATGGGGTCTCTTTTTGAGGTCATGAAAACATTCTATAAGTAGATAGTTGTGATGTGAATATATAAAAACAAAAAACAAAAAAACCCCACAATGAATTGTATACCTTAAAAGGGTGAATATTATGGTATGTGAATTATATCACAATAAAAAAAATTCCACATAAGAATATATTTAACCTTCAAGGAGAAATACAGCTCTCACTGGACCAGGACTGTATTATGTCAACCAACAATGGAAGCTGAATCAGAAAGGAGCTGGGCAAACATGGAAGGCCAGCTGACTCTTTTCACAATATATCTAGATTCCTAACCCTCCTCATCATGTCGGCATTTCCATGACAGTAAGATCCATTCCCAGCTCCCCAACTCTGCTCTCTAGCCCCACGGGCTTTCTCTGAAATCTCCAGACTCACCCAGCCACACTCTCAATTCCTGGTCCAGGTCTGGTTCCTCTTTGTCTGGGGACATGAGCATGAGCCTTTGATTCATGTTGCCTCCGCTGAGATCACCAGCATCTCCAGAGCTCCCACAGGGTGCTGGGCCTAGCTTGATGCGTGACAGAGCAGGAGCTCAGCAAATGTTTCTGGAGTGAATTGGAGTTAGGAAGAGCCTCGTTGAGGGGATGTCATCTAGACTGAGACCTTAAGGGCCCGTGGGATCTGTCAGCCAGGTGGGTGAGGGGAGAGTGCCCTCGGCAGGCCAACAGCATGTGCAAAGGCCCTGGAGAAAGAGAGCTGGTGCCGTGCTGAGGACTCAAGGGGGACTGAGGGGCTTGAAGACTCCTGAGCAAGAGGAGAGGAAGAAAACCTACAGCAGATGGGGCTAGAGAGGCAGATCGGGATTAGACACCTTTCATTGCAAGCAGCTGCTCAAAACTGTTTAAACATCCAAGGGATTCGTTGGCTCTCAGCACTGCGAAGTCCCGGGTGCCCCGATTCTCAGCCACTTCAGGGCTAGCTTGATCCAGCAGCTCAAAAATGGCACCCCGTACCTGCTTTTTTGTCTTTCTTTCCTCACCATTCCATGTCAGCTTTCATCATGGTGGTAGCTTTCATCACGGTGGCAAAATGTCTTTTGCTGCAGTCAAGCGATGAACCTCATGGCTATACACCCTAGGGTCCAGAGGGAGCTAGAAAACATTTTTTTCCAGCAGCCCCCGCCAAAAAAAGGCATCTTCATTGGCCTGGGATTGGAGGCCCACCCTGTGGCCCAGTAATGGGATGATGCTGATCGGTGTGCGTCTGAGCCACCTGTCCCAGTCCCAGGCCCAGGTGGGTCAGCACTTGGGCCAGTGGGTACTCTCAAAAGTGAACAGGGAACTAAGACAACAGAGAAGGGTCATGGGAGACAACCACAGTAGCCGAAAACTCAAATTATTTTCATTTACTAATCTATGTGGGGTATTCTCTATTTTGAGGGATTGTAAAGAACCAAGAGGTTTAAATGTAACAGTAAAATGCTACCATCATCACTGGGGTGCTGCGGCTGGTGTGACCCCGGGAAGAATGCCCCCTGGGACTGTTTTCTCTTCAGGGAAAGGAAGGGCTAGGTCACCCGGCCATCGGAGCGGAGCTTCCCACTCTCCAAGGTCCTGCTCTCCGAAGGGAGGTGCAGTGGCCTGATGTGGCCAGCAGGTGGCAGCGCCAAGGCACTCCTGGTTCGGGCCAAGCCTTTCTTGGTAAGAGACAGCGGCTGGCTTCTCCAGCCAGATCCTATAGCTGCTGTGCTTTCTTGGGAACCACGACTTTTGGGTGGCAACAGGGCCAACTCCATGGGTATGTGACCCATATTTTGAAGGGCCCTGGGATTGGCTCAATGCTCCGCTGTTCCTGTCTTGAAACCTTAACAACTGTTGAACAGGAGTCCTGCATTTTCATTTTGCACTTGGCCCCATAATTACGGTGCTGGGTGGCAGAACTCATACTGCCTCGGGGATCCCTATCACTGCTATTTCTCAGAAACGTGCTGGGCCCTTCCCTTTGCTGGGCCTTTCCTCAGCCTTCCTGGGGCTCCTGATCATGCTTGTCTCCAGCAGCTCACTGTCTATTGGGAAGCCTAGAAAGGATGAGAACCCTACAGGGGGAAGATGGGAACCCTATTGGGGAGGATGGGAACGCTATAGGGGGAAAAAGTAATCCCTCTGGTGAGCTCATCCATGGCCTCGTGGTTGTTACATTTGCTGGAAACCTTCTGGGTCTTACCTTACTTGACCCTTTGGAATTTGACACTCAATCCTTCTATTCCACAGAGTCTCGAGACTAGCTGCTTCTCCCCTGGACCACCTTCTCACTGCTTCACAGCCATCAGTGTCCCCTGGGCTTCCTTCCATTTTTTTAAAAAGTCAACTACTGAGGTGTAATTTACATACAGTAAAACTCAACCTTTTGGGGTGTACAGTTCAATGAGCTTTAGTAAACATGTACAGTCATGGTATAATCCAGAAAGAATACTGCCAGCCCCCCCAAAGTTTCCCTTATGCTCTTTTGTAGTCCGTCCCCTGTCACTCCCAGCCCCCATGACCCCTGATCCACTCTGTCTCTATGGTTTGCCTTTCCAGGTCATAGAAATGGAACCATACAGCAAGTAGCCTTTGGGGCCTGGCTTCTTTCACTTACCATCAGGCCACTCCCACATGAATATTATTTTTTGGTGTTCCAGGCACAGCCCTGGCTGAAAGCACCAGTCTCTGCTGATGACACCCACCGCTTACCACTGAAACCCCTCAGGATCCCTCAAACCAGCTCCTCTGCCCTCATTCTCTCTATTGGTCATCAAGCTAGAAGTCTGGGAGGCATCCTTGACTTCGTCTGGCATCCCTCCATATCCAGAAGTAACCCTCCTCCATCCCCTCCCGCACTGCCTCGGTTCAGGCCCCCCCCCCCACATCCCTGCAGGAGTCTCCAGGCTGGTCCCCCTGCCTTCCCGCCCTGGCCCTGCCCCAGCCCAGTCAGCCAGTATCAACCCCCCAACACTGCAAGTGCCTGGGGGGCGCAGTTGGCCAAACTGGCCTCTGCCTGTCTCTCTGGCCTCACCTCCCTCCGCCTCCCCTCCTCAGAGCCCTGCACTTCCGCCAAACAGCGGGTGCTGTTTTTCCTGAGCCAGAGTCAAGACTATTGAACAACTTCACAGACACTGACAGTGAACTTGATGAAATGACACTGTTGCTGAGTAAGCGGCACCCAAGTAAAATAGTTCAAAATGTCTACTGGTCATTTCCAAGAAACTTAAGTGTAAAAAGCAAAGTGCAAACGGGATCTAGAATAGGCTCCCTCTCGTGTAAAGAAGGGGAGCCAGAGAATATACACGTGCAAAAAGAAACACAGTACGAATAAAGCGGACACTGAGATTGGTTACTGGGTGGACAACCGGGGTAAGAAGACCAGAGAATGGGAGGCATGGGGAAGCCACACTTCTCTGGATACAGCTGTATAGTTCTGACTTTTAGAATCATGACTAGATTTTATACTTCTGAACACATTTGTTAATCCACAAGGAATTGGGGAAGAGGGGGAGTGGAGATGACCCGGAGAGGACTATAAACAGGAACAAATGACCCTAAGTGTACTACAAATGAATAATAACCCAAGGACACTGGGAGCACTCACCTAAGCAACTTTAGAAGAGAGTATTTTGACCATACACTCTAAGACTAAAGGAGAAAAACTGTACAATATTGTACTCTAAGTAGTAGGCTTATTTTTCAGAGAAGTGTGTGTCAGAAATTCAAAAAACACTGGGGGCACCCAGCTGGCTCAGTAGGGAGAGCATGCAATTCTTGATCTTGGGGTTGTAAGTTTGAGACCCACGTTGGGTATAGAGATTACTTAAAAATAAAATCTTTTAGCGACATCTGGGTGGATCAGTGGGTTAAGCATATGACTTTTTTTTTTAAAAGATTTTATTTATTTATTTTTAGAGAGAGAGAGAGAGAACACATGAGAGGGGGGAGGGTCAGAGGGAGAAGCAGACTCCCTGCCGAGCAGGGAGCCCGACGCGGGACTCGATCCCAGGACTCGATCCCGGGACTCCAGGATCACGACCTGAGCCAAAGGCAGTTGCTTAACCAACTGAGCCACCCAGGCGCCCCAGCATATGACTCTTGATTTTGGCTCAAGTCAGGATCTCAGGGTCCTCGGATAGAGCCCCCTCGGGCTCTGCACTCTAAGCTCTGCTTGTCTCTCTCCCTCCTTTCTGCACCTCCCCCAATCTCTCTCATGTGCACTCTCTCTAATAAATAAAATCTTTTAAAAATAAAATCTTAAAAAAATAAATGCAGAAAATATGCGTATTCTAGCATTAAACAGGTAAATAAATACACTGTGATGAAAGCCAGATTTCTCACTATCAGAAAAATCAGTTATAAATACAGAAAGGGGTCAGCTAGAATAAACAGTGTGGTCTTGGACCGGAAGTAGAGGCATCGTTGTGAACTCATGGTTTTCGAAATACAAATATGTCCGAACAGCTTGTGGTAGGTATCCATGCGTATGTACGTACATTTCCTGACTGTCCAGTGAGAGGGTCTGAAAGTCCTAACGCCCAGCACCAATGATGTCACCCAGCACCCAGGTCTTGGTGTCTCATGCCATTCTGCAATGAAAAGCACCACGGCTTCTTGGAGAATAGCCATATCTTCAGGGCTGTGGCAAGGAAGTTACAAGATGAGCCTCCCACATCTTGTGGTGCTAGAAGGTAAGGAAGGGTTCAAATCCTAACGGGGACATGTGGACCCATATCAGTGGACACAGGAGGCAAACTTGAATGGGCTCCCATGCCAAATCTGGGACAACCTGACAGACAAAATAAATAATGATCATAATGGATTATAATCCATAGAAGAAGCTATAGAATAAAACAAGAATCTGTGAGTCCACACGGATATAAATACTTGAATGAATGAAGAAAAAAAAAAGGTGAAGGGAAAAGTCTTCCCCACAGAATTCCAACCAATCAGGGTGCCTGGGTGGCTCAGTCATTAAGCGTCTGCCTTCGGCTCAGGTCATGATCCCAGGGTCCTGGGATGGAGCCCCACATCGGGCTCCCTGCTCGGCGGGGAGCCTGCTTCTCCCTCTCCCACTCTCCCTGCTTGTGTTCCTCCTCTCGCTATCTCTCTGTCAAATAAATAAATAAAATCTTAAAAAAAAAAAAAAGAATTCCAACCAATCAATGTAGAATGAGGAAAACTGAAAACTGCCATTTGGCAGATACCCAGTAATAATTGTTTCAGGAAAAAATCAGCAATAGATGCTAAAATTACTAGGGAAAAGTAGGATGAGGAACAGGATATTTAGAGAGTCTCTTAGGATCTCTCTTTGAGAGAACTTACAAACAAGTAATATTACAGTGAAGGAACCTGACAGAAACCATCTTAAGCATAAATGACTGGGGAGGTGGTCACTCCAAGGTGGGCCAGGAGAGGCTTCTCTGAGGAGGCAACATTGAAGCTCTGACCTGGGTGGTCAGAAGACTTGGAGGGGAATATTCCAGAAACAGCTCTGTCCAAGGACTCAAGGCACAGAAAGAAGGCAAGTGTCAGGTATACAGTGAAGAGTAAAGTAGATAAGAGATCAGGGAGACAGGAGACCTCCTATTACACATGGCTTTGTAGTCCCATGGTAGGTAAGGAGTTCAGGCTTTGTTTTTGTTTTTATTTTTTTTTCTGTTTCTTTTTTTTTTTAATAACTGTGTAAACTACACATAACCTTGACCATCTTGATTATTTTTAAGTGTATAGTTCAATAGTATGAAATATATTCATAACGGTATGCAACTACCACCACCATCCATCTCCAGAACTCTTTTCATTTTGTAAAGCTAAAACCATACCCATTACACATGAAGTTCCCATTTCCCCTCCCATGCACCTGGCAACCACCATTCTACTTTCTGTTTCTACGATTCGGACTATGCTAAGTATCTCATATAAATGGAATCATCCTGTATTTGTTCGTTTGTTTTGTGACTGCTTATTTCACTTAGCATGATGTTCTCAAGGTTCATCCATTTTGTAGCATGTGTCAGAATTTCCTCCTTTTTAAAGGCTGAATAATATTCCACTATATGTATATGCCACATGTTGCTTATCCATTCATCCACTAAGAGACCCTTGGGTTGTGTCCATGTTTTAGCTCTTGTGAACAAGGGTATACAAATATCTCTTCAAGATCCTGATTTCAATTCTTCTGGGTATACACCCAGAAGTGGAATTGCTGGATCATATGGTAATTCTACTTGTAGGTTTTGAGGAATCACCATACTGTTCTCCACTGTGGCTGCACTATTTTATAGTCCCACCAACAGGGCACAAGAGTTCCAATTTCCCCACAGCCTGTCCAACACTTGTCTTCTGTTTGTTGTGTGATTGCGGCCACCTAATGAGTCTGAGGAGGTATCTCATTTGCATATCCCTACTGATCAGTGATGCTGAGCATCTTTTCATGTGCTTATTTTGTATTTGTTCATCTTTGGAGAAATGCCTATTCAAGTCCTTTGCCCATTTTTAAATTGGGTTGTTTGGTTTTTTGTTGCTGAGTTAGAGGAGTTGGGGTTTTATTATAAATGATGAAGTAGCCAAGAATGTTAAGCCGGGGAGTAATGTGTCCTAATTTGAGTTTTTTGTTTTGCCCTATTTTTTGGTCACTCTGTTGGGTGGAGAATGCTTTGAAGGCAAAGAGTTTTAGACGGAGACACTAGAAACAGGGAGGCCATTTTGGGGTTTTTGTAGAAGTTCAAGCAAGAGATGATGGTGGTCCCAGCTAGCGGAGTGTTCACTACAAATGGGATTGTAGAGAAGGGGGAAGATTTGAAACCTTAGTTAAGTAGTATAATCAACAAGATTTTGCAACTAAATAGAAATGGGAAATGAGTAAGAAGAAGGAGTCCAAGATGACTGCCAGGGTTCTGGCTTGAGACAGAACTGGGTAGATGATGGTACCATTCACTAAAATAAGAAAACCAGGGGAGAATTGGTTTAGGAGCTGGGGAGAGAAATGATGAATTCAATCGTCAACACCACACATTGAAATGGCCTGTGGGACATCCCAATGGAGAGGTCCAGCAGCTTCCAGGCTGGCATTTAGAAGGAAGAGCTGGGGCACCTGGGTGGTTCAGTCAGTTGAGCCGCTGACTCTTGGTTTCAGCTCAGGTCACAATCTTGGGGTTGTGAGATCAAGCCCTGCATCAGGTTCTGCACTCAGTATGAGGTCTGCTTGAGATTCTCTCTCCTCCCTCTGCCCCCCCTGCCTGCTCACTCTCTCTTCTCTCAAATAAACCTAAAAAAAAAAAAAGAAGAAGGAAGAGTGGGGCTCGAGATTCCACAACGGAAGCCTTGCACATAATAATTAAGTCATGGGACTAGATGGTTCCAAGGGAACTTCCTGAAAGTGTAATAAAAACATAGGTGTAGGGGCGCCTGGGTGGCTCAGTCATTAAGCGTCTGCCTTTGGCTCAGGTCATGATCCCAGGGTCCTGGGATCGAGCCCCGCATCGGGCTCCCTGCTCTGCGGGAAGCCTGCTTCTCCCTCTCCCACTCCCCCTGCTTCTGTTCCCTCTCTCGCTGTGTCTCTCTCTGTCAAATAAATAAATAAAATCTAAAAAAAAAAAAAAAGCAACAACACAGGTGTAGGTACACATGTACGTAATTATTGGAAGAAGGTTGGTATCTTTTAACCACTGCTTGAAGAGAGCCCTGACTGACCTCCCCTGTCCTCTTCTCCTCAAAAAGGTTAAAAGTCACTGGTAGGGGCCCCTGGGTGGCTCAGCCAGTTAACTGTCTGCCTTCGGCTCAGGCATGATCTCAGGGTCCTAGGACGGAGCCCCACATCGCACTCCCCACTGAGCAGGTAAGTTATAGGGAGAAAAAGTCATTGGAGGAAAATCAACATTCAAGGAGGAGGAGAGGGTCTGAAAAGCATTCAGAGAGGAAGGAGAAAAATGGGCTTGAGATTTCAAGGGGAGGGAAGAGGTGGGCAGTGGCATCATATGCTGCAGAGATTAAGGTCAGCTCTAAAAGTGGGGCTTCTTCACACTCATTAATGGTCCCAGAACCTCTGCCCAAAAAGGCTGTCCTGAGTGTCATCAGATGCACTCTGCCTCTCCTTCCCTGGACAGCAGGGATTTTCTCTGGCCTTCTCAGAACATGGCAGAACAGAAAAGGGATCCCACACCTGGAAATCACCTATGGCTTATTTGATGCCAAGAGAACTCACCCTGGTTGGCAAAGGCCCATCAGTACACACCTGATGCAAGCAAATAAACTCAACTTGAGCTTGGAAGACTGACAGATATTTAGGATTTCCCTGTTTTTGTTTTTGTTTTTTTTAAAGATTTTATTTATTTATCTGAGACAGAGAGAATGAGAGAGACAGAGAGCACATGAGAGGGGGGAGGGTCAGAGGGAGAAGCAGGCTCCCTGCCGAGCAGGGAGCCCGATGCGGGACTCGATCCCGGGACTCCAGGATCATGACCTGAGCCAAAGGCAGTCGCTTAACCAACTGAGCCACCCAGGCGCCCCCTGTTTTTGTTTTTAAGATTTTATTTTTTTATTTTTTAAGTAATCTCTACACTGAACATGGGGCTCGAACTTACAACCCCCGAGATGAAGAGTTGCATGCTCGACTCACTGTGCCAGCCAGGTGCCCCAGGATTTCACTGTTAAGTGGGGGAGAAGGGGAGGGGGGAGCAGATTACAAAATGATCCAGACTTAATGCACTCAACCATATAAAATAATACATAGGAAATTGAAAGAAACAAACATACCTAAATATTTATAGGGGTAACCTCTGGTTGTTGAGATTATAGATTTTCCCCTCTATTTCTTTATAGTTTCCAAATGTTCTACAATAAGTATATATCACTTCTATAATTGGACTGATTTTTCAAGATACAGTTTCTGCAACAGTGAGAGTCCTGTCCCAGTTTCACAGTGGAAAAACACCTTTTGGGTCACAGAGCTCTTTAAAACCCTGATGGTAGCTATGGGCCTCATTCTGCATCCCCTTGGGGTGGCCCTGATGCCAAGACAATGCCCATCCCTGCCTGTAGGAGGCAGAATGGTTTTGGGGCCAACCACAGTTTATTCTAATGCTAACCAACAATGTTAAAATTTCAAAGAAATGTGTAAATCCAAAATGGAAACACCAAAGAAACCCAGAGGTGAGTATTGGCTATGCTGTCCCCGCTCTGTTGGGGGGTGGAGGGTGGGGTTAAACTGGCCTGAGTCCCAAGATCAGAGCGGCAGGTCTGTCATCTTTGGGGACAGAGCTGCGCTAGGCATCTAAACATCCCATTCATCCAGCTCACTCCCTGGTTCACATCCCTGGCTCATGAGTGCCTTTAGGAAAAACGTGGCTGCTTTTAGGGCAGAGGTTTATCAACTTGAATCACTCTAAAGGCCAGAAAGGCCAAATACAGGAAAAATAAACTGCCAAGGTATAATCAAACTTCATTTCATATGTGATAAATACAAACACAGGACGCCAGAGATTGTACTTTAAATTTGACGTTGAACAAATATAATTTGGAAGTAGAAATAATTATTTAAAGTCTCATAATTTCTTTCTCCTTAGATTTCAAATCTGACACCTGACATTCCCTTCTTAAGCCCCAAGGTCAAGGCTGGGAATCTTGTGCAGCAACCTGTGGCAGAGAATTCATCTCCGAGTCCTTTAACTGGAAGCAATATTTAGTTTTATGTTGTTTCATGACAGAAAAGAGCTGCTCACAAACGTACGTACTTCCAAACATGGACAGAATCTTTGCACAGTGGTTTTTATATTTAGGGTAACTGTTCCCAAGATACTTATAGAATTCTGGGGTCCCGACACCATCATATTTCGTTTTCAGTAGGGTGTTCCCTGCAATTCAAGAACTTCCATTTGTAGCTCTTCGCTCACGTTATTAATGTTGATCGAGAAAGGTGAACTGAACAGAACAACGTCAGCTCGTTTTCATAAAATTTGAAATCAGAGTACCATTTTTGGAATTCAGTCTTCAACTCTTTAATTTGGGAAATATAGTTCTGGCCATCTCTTTCATTTTCAGAAACTAATTTCAGCTTAGGGAAGTGGGCCAGATTGTTCCTTGCCTAATGAGTTTCCCAAAGACACGGTTTTCTTAGGAAGGAGCAAATTGAATCGTACATCTGTGTAACCACTTGTGGGCGTCTTTGCAGAGAAATATCCAACGTGTTTAGGTAAGTCATAATGTCAACCAAAAAGGCTAAATCTTTGACCCAATCTTTGCTAGTAAGCTGAGGAACCGATTTTCCTTTAGAAGACATGAAAAAATCAATTTCTTCCAACAGTTTGAAAAACCACCTGAGCACCATGCCATGACTCAGCCACTTATGTCCCATGGAGCAAGACAGGCTTCCATACTGTGCATCTAACTCGCTGAACAAAGCACTGAACTTTCTGTGGTCTGAGCCATGTGACCGGATCCAGGTTATGCTGTGAATCACTATGTCCATGACATGATCCATTTTTAACTTTTTAGCACAAAGTGATTCCTGGAGAATGAGGCCATGCATGGACTTCAGTTCCGTGTCTTTGCAAAGCCCTGACACTTTAGATTTAAGTTTTGTAACAAGTTGTTCAACACCAACCAGTGCCGAATTGCCATCTGTGTTAACACTAATTGTGACCAGTCTACGTTAAATTTTTTAAGGCTTTCCTCAACCCAGACAAGAAAGTCATTTCCTGACATGGCGCCTGTCATGGGAACCATGTCCAAAAGTTCTTCCGTCACATCAAAAGTGCCATCAACACCACGAATAAATACAGCCAACTGGGGGGCATTAGCTCCATCGGCCCCTTCATGAGCCGCAATGGAGAAAGCCACAAATGATTTAGCTTTCTCTTGCAGCTTGTCCTGTAAATTCACTGCCCTGCTGTCAACACGCTGTGAAACAATATTACCACTTAGTCTCAGATTGGCAAATGCTTGTCTCTGTTCAGGGCACATAATCTCCGCTGCACTCAACAGACATTCCTTTATAAACTCGCCGTCTGTAAAAGGTTTCGATGCCCGGGCAATTTTCTCACTTAACATATAACTGCATTTCATAGCAGCGTCATTTATTTTATTCACGTTCAAAAGTAAGTCGTGTTGAAATTTCAGTCTTTTTTTCAGTTTGTTAAGTTTTTTATCACGCATCTTTTCGGTATACCCATCATTCCTACTATGGTTTGTTTTATAATGGCGTCTGAGGTCCAAGTCCTTCGACACAGACACACTTTGTTTGCATATTAAACATGTAGGAACATTCTTGACCTCCACAAAGAAATAAGCTCGCTCCCATTCTTCTTGAAACGTGTGGCTTTCTTTTTTTTTTTTTTTTTAAATTTTTTTTTTTTTTTAAGATTTTATTTATTTGAGAGAGAGAGAATGAGAGACAGAGAGCATGAGAGGGAGGAAGGTCAGAGGGAGAAGCAGACTCCTTGCTGAGCAGGGAGCCCGATGTGGGACTCGATCCCGGGACTCCAGGATCATGACCTGAGCCGAAGGCAGTCGCTTAACCAACTGAGCCACCCAGGCGCCCCGAAACGTGTGGCTTTCTTGTTCTAGCTTTCGTTTTCCCACTTTTGAAGGACACAAACCCATAAGAAATATTAAAATGTCACCTTTACGGTGAGAAAAGTACTACTTTGCAAGAGAAACATAGTGACTATTTTTTCAAAGTGTAAGTGTGTTGTTCACTCCTTCAAAGTAGGAGAGAACTGAGCGAATCGTGGGGGCTGTGGGGAACAGCTAAGAAGAAACCTCTGATTCTCCTGTGCAGATGGCCGCAGACACGCAGGAACACAGCCCCAGGGCACTGATTCTCTGAGGCCGCAACAAAAGAAGCTGGAAATCCAGATTTTTATGTGAAACTCCTTGATTCTTAAAAATATCCATAATAAATTGTGGGGTTTTTTCCCTGTGAATACTAGATAAGCTGCGACGTCTACCCATCAGATTAGGCAGCTTAGGGACACTGGTTTGGGGTCTCTGATTTAAACCAGACAAAAACTCTACTTGAAGAGAATTAAATATTGAATTCTGAAACCACAGGTTTAAGAGCCTGTCCAAACAGAATCCTAGAAGGTACCCAAGAAGGGGAGCTAAGCTGATGGATCTCAAAGTGCCATGTTTTTGCAGACTTCATGGTTATAGTTAACTAGGACACTAGTCATTTGCTTGATAGAAGGATGACTTACACATTTCTGATACAGGCAGACATTGTATGGAAGTGTCCCTATCCTCCTGCTAGCCCCTCTCTGGGGAACCCTGCTGACAACCCTGGCAAGTCTCAGTCTACAGAGCTGTAGCATCCCTTACTCCTCCATGTGCTGGGCTTCTCACCTCTCCCTTCTCGGCCTTGGCTTTTCTCTTCAACATGGCCCAGAACTACAGCAAGCCCACCGATCTTTGTTCCTCGCTTCTCGTCCAAGGCTCTCTCTGCATCAGCCTGTGACTTGAAGTCAACATACGCAATCCTACAATTGTGGGGGGGAAGAAGAAAGAATAGTCAACATTTAGTACTTTTATTGTCTTCTGAATTAGTAATACACATACAGGATTCAAAATGCAAAAGTTAGAAAAGGATATGGTGAAGTGTGCCTTCTGCCCAATTTCTATCCATACAGGTAACGTGCCATACATATAAAAAGCAAACATACACATATACACACTCTTTTTCAAAGCTTGACTGAGATATAATTTATACATCATAAAATGCATCTATTTAATGTGTACAATGAGGGGCGCCTGGCTGGCTCAGTCGGTGGAGCGTACTACTCTTGATCTCGGGGTTGTGAGTTCAAGTCCCACACTGGGTACAGAGATTACTTAAAAATGAAACCTTTAAAAAAAAAAGTGTATAATGGTTTCTAGTATGTTTACAGACTTCTATAACCATCACCATGATCTAATTTTAGAACGTTTTTGGGGCGCCTGGGTGGCTCAGTTGGTTAAGCATCTGCCTTCGGCTCAGGTCATGATCCCAGGGTCCTGGGATCGAGCCCCGCATCGGGCTCCCTGCTCCGCGGGAAGCCTGCTTCTCCCTCTCCCATTCCCCCTGCTTGTGTTCCCTCTCTCACTGTCTCTCTCTGTCAAATAAATAAATAAATTTAAAAAAAAAAAGGCTCTTTAATTTTAGAACGTTTTTATCCTCTCCCAAAGTAACCACCGGCAGTCACTCCTCATTCCCTCTAACTCATTCCCACCCCTGGCCCAACTACCATGCTACTTGCCTATCCTGGACATTTCTTATAAATTGGATCATATGAACATGCAATCTTTTGGGTCTGGCGTCTTTCACTTAGCCTAATGTTTTCCAGATTCATCCAAGTAGTAGTATGTGTCAGTACGCCATTCCTTTTTATGGCAGGATAATATCACCTTGTAGGAAATACCACACTTTGTTTATCCATTCATCAGCTGGTGCACATTTGGGGTTGTTTCCACTTTTCGGCTATTATGAATGAAGGTAATCTTGCACGCGTGTAGAAGTGTGTGGCTATACGTTTTCATTCTGTATACCCCGTGCAGCAGAATTGCTGCCCCATACGGCAACTCTGTTTAACACATTGAGAAACTGCCAAAACCAGTTTCCCAAGCAACTGCACTCTTTTATTTTACATTCCCACCGGCAATGAACAGGGGTTCCAATTTCCCCATCGCCTTGCCAACACTTGCTATTGCCTGCCTTTCTCATTACACCCACTCTGATCGAGTGGAACTGCAGGATAAAATGGTACATGCAACTATAATTGATAGATACTAACTCATCTTCACAGAGACTTCACGAATTTCCCTTCTACCAACAACGTCTGAGCATGCCGGTTTCTCCAACCCTCTTCAATACTATGGAATACACCTTTTGATTGTTAACATCTAATAGGTAAAATGTTGTATCTAAACTAAATCAAAATTGCATTCTAATTTACAATTCTTTTAGTATGAGTGAGGCTAAGTATCTTTTCTTACGTTCAAGAGAAAATTACTTTTCTGTGACCTTCCTGTTCATAATTTGCCAATATTTTTACTGGGTTGTTGGTCTTTTTCTTTTCTTTTTTTTTTTTAAGATTTACTTATTTCTTTTAGAGAGAGATACAAAGAGAACATGGGAGGGAGGGGCAGAGGGAGAGAGAGAATCTCAAGCAGACTCCATGCTGAGCTCAGAGCCCGACATGGGGCTCGATCCCAAAACCCCAAGATCACGACCTGAGCCGAAACCAAAAGTCGGACATTCAACCAAATGCACCACCTAGGTGCCCCTGTTGGTCTTTTTCTTACTGATTTGTGAGATGCACTTTATCTATCAGCAAATTAGCCCTCAATTTTGATAGAAATCATGAATTTTTTTTTCCTCATTTGTCACTTGTTTTTCGACTTTGCTTATGGGATTTTTTTTCCCCATGTAGATGTATTTTATATTTCTGCAGTCAAATTTATCTGTTCTTTTAGGACTTCCAGGATTTGTGTCATACTTAACAGGCCTCCCCCTCTTGCAGATTATTAAAAATAAACAAACAAAACAATCTCTAGGTCTCCCTCTGGTACTTTATGATTTCATATTTTCATTGTAATCTTTCATGGACCTGTAACTTACTTTGGTGAAAGATATGGAGTAAGGATCTGTTGAGTGAGAATATTCTTGTAGAGTGCACCACGCTCACCTCTGACAAAGGTATTATGCTTTATTTAACACGTCATGAATTCCCTGGCATCTCCTAATTCCCCATAATAATACCTCATGTAAAGGAGTAATTTAAAGACTTAAGTATATGTAATCAAAACTTAACTAACAATAGAGAAATTCTATGGCTTTTGGCAGCAATTTTTGTTTCGTCGTTTTCCAGTGTTGCTGACTACAAGCATAGGAGAGCCCCCAAATCTCCTCACAGGAAACACTGACGATAGGGGCGCCTGGGTGGCTCAGTTGGTTGAGTGACTGCCTTTGGCTCAGGTCATGATCCCAGGGTCCTGGGATCAAGCCCCGCATCGGGCTCCCTGCTTGACGGGGTGGGGGGGCTGTTTCTCCCTCTCCCTCTGCCACTCCCACTGCTTGTGCTCTCCTGCTCTCTATGCCAAATAAATGAATAAAATCTTAAAAAAAAAAAAAAAGAAAGAAACACTGACAATAGCAAATTGCTGACAATACGGGATGTATCCTTTCAGACTTGTTTTCTGAATTGGCAGGATTCTTTTCTAGAGATTATGTTCTTCAGAATATACAGGTATAGACTATTTTAGAGTTCACCTATACCAACAATTTTCACTCAAATGTATGTGTAATCCTGATATGCAAGCTGCACCTCATTAAGAATTCCTTCAAAATAGGGGCCCCTGGCTGGTTCAGTCAGTGGAGTGTGTAACTCTTGATCTCGGGGTTGTGAGTTTGGGTGTAGAGATTACTTAAAAATAAAATTATAAAACAAAAAAAGAAAATTCCTCCAAAATACATCCCATTCCATCCTTCCTAATTTTACCATATTCACCCTCTTACTCTACCAAAGCCTAGCTACATAGCGCTAGTGTTTCATTAGTTGTTACAACATAGCTCTAATGGGCCGATTTAATGCTCTGTTCTGCCCCTGTCCGGGCAAATCAGCAAGCGTGTTGGTTTACTAGAGTCAACCCTGGAGAGAGAAAAATGGAAATCACCTATGACTGAACTCCTCTAATCCTCAACCTTGAACTTCGTAGAGTAAGTCTTCATTTCTCAGTGACACCCCTATAGTTTTCTAGAAGCTTCTGGCTGTCCATTTATGATGCCCCCTTCAGTTTTTTATGCCTGCTGGCAGAAAGGTTGGATAACTACTTTTTCCTTCTCTAAAATCAGGTGTAAGTGATTTAGGAGAATGTAATGAAATTCTGTTATGTCTGAATCCAGCAGAAATATATTCTTTTTCAATATAGGTACAAAACACACCTTTTACTCATCCCATCCTTGCTCACCAATCTGATTTGAAAGGCATCCTTAAACACTTCTTTTAACTCATGCTGGGTGACTCTGTGAGACAGGTTCTGGATCAAAAGTGTTTTGGCATTCCAACCTACGCAACACAAAAGAGTATTTTTAGTCTGAGTTCAGATCTAGTAAGCATCCAAAGTTCTCTAAAGGAGAAAAAATACTTCTCCAGGAGTTGGAGAGTGTTAATAGCAATACATATTCCCTCATTTAACAAATCTTTGAACACATATCTGGGCGACGGCCTGTGCTAGAGGCTACATGAAAATACAGACTTGGCGTCTACTCTCAGGAATGTGGTCTTGTTGGGGGAAAAGGCTAGTAAGCAAAGTCACATACTTACAAACTCTGGTTTGTAAGGTGAGCCATCCAGCTTGAGCACAGAGGGTGAGAGTAATGTAGACAAAGTTTGTGCTGGGCAAGGAGGTGCCCTGGTGGTAACTGACTACTTGGACTGAATAAGAATCCGAGACTCATTCCTGACCCAGAGTTTGTCTAGATACACAGGTATCTATAAACAAATTACCTTGTTTGCATATCTTTCTTTACTTCCTTTCCTTTTGGTTTTCTCAATTTAATTTCATAGCCAAGGACCTTTGTCTCACTAAGTTTCAAGGCTTTTCCCTGGTCATCAGCAGATTTAAAATTCACATAACCGAATTTCCTACAGAGATGTAAAAGAAAAGGGAAAAACCCCTAGGTAAGATCAAAAGGCACATGACTTTGGGTTGGTTAGTCATACTGGATGTGAAAGTGGAAATCAGCAGTGAGTCATTTACAATTTAAAACCAAGGCTCCACCAACTAGCAATACAAATGCCATAAAGTAACCAGAGAAGAGTGGCTCTCGCCCCCAGGCAAGTTTGAGAAGGGCTAGAGGGTGCTTCTAGAACGCGGTGGGGGTGGGTAGAATCCAGGCCTGCTGTTACATAGCCTGCAATCCACTTGACAGTCCCCAAAACAAAGAATTATCTGGTATCAATAATGCCAAAATTGAGAAACCCTGTTCTAGAGCAAGGACTGAGTCGGTGCAAATTCACCTACTGAAACCTTTATTACTTTTCTGTTTAGCGACTGACCGAATTTAAACAAAAGCTATAGAAAACGGAGCTTGAAATTGTAAGGTTGTGACTTTTTGTTTTAAGAAAGAGCCATCTGCATTTGTGAACTGGAACAAAAATATCACTCCTAATGAGGAATGTGTTAGCAAACCCAAGGGCTATTACAAAAAGATTTTTTAATGCAAAAGGAATTCTTATTTACTGCAAATGCAACAATAATGCAAAATATAGTTAACACAACCTGTAAGCACAATGTGACAGAAGCTGTAGCTCTGGAGCCAGATTCTGGGCTCAAATCCCAGCTCTGCCATTTTTGAACTGTGTGATACTGGGCACATTACTTAACTTCTCTGTGCCTAAATCTTCTTTGTGAAATGGGGATAGTATCAGTAATTACCACTGAGGGCTGTCTTACCAGATTCCATGAGTTCATATAAATAAGGAACAAAGAATAATGCCTGGAACGGTGAGTGCTCAATGAATGTTCACTATTATTATTATCTTTTTGTTCCTACCTAAGACAGTCTGAGTACTATAAAATATGCTCACACCCAGGAAATATGCTTCTGATGCAAAAGAAGTGAGAAAGATAAAATGCAACTTGGCAAAAAAGCAGAAGTGATGCAGGACCTATATTTGCCACCATAGCTAGGGGGCTGTGATTAAAGGTGTGACTTGGTTTAAAATAATTCTGGGCAAATAACATTGCTCACAGTGGAAAATCATGAAAATATGTTTCTGTAACAACAAGGAAAATCTCGGGATTATTTTAACATTCCAATTGGAAAAAATGGGATAGCAGAGTTTCATCTAATGGATTTTCTAAGAGCCACTGAAGGATTTTTTTTTTTTTTTAAAGATTTTATTTATTTATTTGACAGAGAGACACAGCGAGAGAGGTAACACAAGCAGGGGGAATGGGAGAGGGAGAAGCAGGCTTCCCGCGGAGCAGAGAGCCCGATGTGGGGCTCGATCCCAGGACACTGAGATCATGACCTGAGCTGAAGGCAGACGCTTAACAACTGAGCCACCCAGGCGCCCACCACTGAAGGATTTTTAAATATATGAGCCCCTCTTATCCATGGCTTCAGTTACCCACAGTCAACTGTGTGGTCTGGAAGCAGATGATCCTCCTTCTGACCTAGCATCAAGAGGCCAACAGTGCTCTAGCTAGAGGTCACAACGCCTGAGCGTGGACCTCAGTCATCTCATCCTGGAGGCATTTTATCATCTCACATTATCACAAGGAGGGCGACTTTGAGAGAGAGAAACCACATTCATGTAACTTCCATTCCAGGATATTGTTATAATTGTTCTAATTCATTATATTATTGTTAATCTATTATGGTGGCTAATTTATAAATTCAACTTTATCACTGCTATGTATGTAAAAGAACCAACGTAGCGTAAGTAGGGTTCAGTACCATCTGTGGCTTCAGGCGTCCACCAGGGGTCTTAGAACATATCCCTGTGGATATGAGACTACTATACTCTCCGTCTCACCGTGAACTGCAAGAGGCTGAGGTAAAACCCCACCATGGGCTCAAGAGCAGGTAACAAGGGGCGCCTGGGTGGCTTAGTCGGTTAAGCGTCTGCCTTCGGCTCAGGTCATGATCCCAGGGTCTTGGGATCAAGTCCCGCATTGGGCTCCCTGCTCGGCTGGGAGCCTGCTTCTCCTTCTCCTTCTGCCCCCTGCCCCCAGCTTGTGATGCCTCTCTCTCTCTCTCTCTCTGTCAAATAAATAAATAAAATCTTTAAAAAAAAATAGAGCAGGTAACAAAAGGATGTGACAAGACAGAACCCACAATAAAATAGAAAGCTACTAGAACTCCTAATTTCTCCAGGGATAATAATGCCAGGTTGGTAAACTTAATGTTCTTAAATTATTGGTATTTACCTGGACGAGCCAACTGACACTAACAACTGTGAGATCATTTTTAGCAAAAAATTCACTGAGACCTGTTTTTAGTTCAGCAGCAGTTTTGTCAAAATTCAGGTTTCCAACAAACAGTTTGAAAGTTACAGGTGGTTCAGCTGACATACAAAAAGGTAAAAAAAAAAGAAAGAAACGAAAAAAAAACCTCAAACAGTGCAGAAACAATGACGCTAAAAGAAAATTCCACTGAAGTTTCTGGCATATTGTAGCACCTAACTGCAATAAAAATCCCCTTGTTTACCACTTGGGCTTTTACTGTGTCCACAAATTCCAAAACTGCAGATGCCTACTCCGTTAATATGAAATTCTCCGTGTTTTGTCTCATGCTTTAAAACACAGCAAAGAAGTTACCTTCCAATTTCTGTCTTCTGGTTTCAGGGGAAGCCTTCTGTTTGGCCATTTCCTTCTTCCGTTTATCAGCTGTTTTTTGGGGCAGGCTCTGTGGGCAAGAGCCAGAGTATATTATATTTTTAATGATCTGTCTGTACCACTCATAGGTAAATTGGAAGCTTTCACTCTATCCACAAATATCACACCTATGGTAATGCCTACTCTTCACAAAACTTATGGGTGCGGTCTGGTCAGAGTACTTCTTTTTTTTTTTTAAAGATTTTATTTATTTATTTGAGACAGAGAGAATGAGAGAGAGAGAGCACATGGCGGGGGGAGGGTCAGAGGGAGAAGCAGACTCCCTGCTGAGCAGGGAGCCCGATGCGGGACTCGATCCCGGCACTCCAGGATCATGACCTGAGCCGAAGGCAGTTGCTTAACCAACTGAGCCACCCAGGTGCCCGGTCAGAGTACTTTTAAAAGCATTCATAAATTAATCAGAACATTCTTCAAGTTCCTAAAAGAAATCCCACAGCCCCTGCCCTTCCCTACAACTCCAATTCCTTGATATGGTCTACCCCTCAAGTGAGCTGACTTGGGTCATTCCGGCCTTCCTCCTCCTCCTCTTCCTCACAGCCTCTGTCATCACCATTGTTGTCCTGCTCATCTCCACCAGGCCCCCATAGGAAGGACTGTTCTCCCTCTGGCCCATGTAGAATACACATCTTTTTCAGAATCTAAAAGAAAACCCACCTAACAAGTCTGCCACACAGACTTGTTAAGAATGAGAATAACAAATTGCTCTTCCAGAGAAACTGCTCATAAATCCGACTAAAATACACCAACCTAACGAAAAAATTCAATGCCACTTTAACTTCTTATTTTGAAATAATTTGAAATGTACTGCCATTATATTTAAATAAAAATATTAATAATTACTTCTTCAGAAACAGTATCATTTAAAATGTTGCACAGACTCTGTCAAGACAAAAAGAAAATCACTGACAATTAAGTTTGGGGGACAATTAACCTGCATGGCTCATAAGCACCATGACAGAAACAATCAGTGGATAATAGTCAAAGAAAACTCTGATTCTGGTCACGTGGACAGTAGAGGTCAAAGGTCCATTGAGATTCCTCATCCACGAGGCCATGCCTGAAAAGTCAGCCGGGGATTGCCAAGGCAGCTTTCTGCAAGGTGGGAGCTTCACAGAACCCCTCTGGCAGAGATGTGGGATGGCAGGCAAGGCTGTCCCCAGAAGAGGATTGATCACCTTCCTCATCCTGGCCCAACTCAGCCTTCTTATCTTCTTCCTCCTCAGAGCTCCCGTTTCTCTTCTCATGGTCCTTGAACTTGACACTCCTGTCTTTTGGCAACGGGGCCCATGTGGCTGCCTTCCTGTGTGGGGATATCAGTTTCTCAGCAAACACGGGAGCCAGAGACTTTTTTTCTTCTCCTTTATTTTCTAGAGAGGTAGTCATCTTCCCACCACTCTGCTGAGGGGTGACGACCTGGAGAGAAGTGGCAACACTGAAAGCACATGTTCCCTGCGCCCACGAGGTTACAACCACACTGTATGGTCAGCAAGTACAAGATTCGGTCAGGCATGTGTGTCGGGGTCTATGCTGAGCTCTCGGAGTTTCTCAATGTGTAGTATAAGAGAGCTCCCAGCACCACCTGGCATGCTTGTCTAAAGAAACAGGAAAAGGAAAAAAAAAAAAATTCCTAGACTTCACTTAGAGCTATCAAATCAGAATCCTTACAGGGAAGGAACTAGGTTTCTAGAAGTTTCCAAGTAAGAAAACAGGAAAATACACCAAGTCAACTACTGTTCAGGTGGTTCCACATGCCACTAGAGTGCCAACTCTTTGTTTTTTTTTAGATTTTATTTTTAAGTAATCTCTACACCCACCATGGGACTTGAAATCACAACCCTGAGATCAAGAGTCACACGCTGCATCAACTGAGCCAGCCAGGCGCCCCTACGCTGCCAGCTCTTTGCATACAAAACACAAAAGTAAAAGAGTCCCCCACAACAGGCACCTGGAACATAAAGAGGAATGAGAGCCAAGCCCCTAAGATTGGGCCTCATGCTTCCTAACTGTACCATCAATTCCATCCCACAGCTACTGATAACTGAGCATGGTACTATCAAACTAAATAACTAAAGATAAAAATGTTAGGGGCACCTGGGTGGTGCCGTCAGCTAAGCATCCGACTGTTGGTTTCGGCTGAGGTCATGATCTCAGGGCCGTGAGCTCAAACCCTGCATCAGGCTCCACGCTCAGCACAGAATCTGCTTAAGATTCTCTCTCCCTCTGCCCCTCCCCCACTCACGTGCAAGTGCATGTGCTCTCTCTCTCTCAAATAAATATTTCAGCAAAACATTGAATGAATACACAAAAGGACAAAACGAAGAACTATGGGCAATAAATAAAACAAGTGTCTTCATCTTGCCAGTGTTAACTAGGAACAGTGTCATAACGGAAGGAAGGTATTACTGGTATTATTATGAGATGAACTATATCCCACTAAAACCCATATGTCAAAGTCCAATCCACAGTATCTAAGAATGTTACTATATTTGGAGACAGGCCTTTAAAGAAGTAATTAAGTTAGGGCGCCTGGGTGGCTCAGTCGGTTAAGCGACTGCCTTCGGCTCAGGTCATGATCCCAGGGTCCTGGGATCGAGTCCCGCATCGGGCTCCCTGCTCTGCATGGAGCCTGCTTCTCCCTCTCCCACTCCCCCTGCTTGTGTTCCCTCTCTCGCTGTGTCTCTCTCTGTCAAATAAATAAATAAAATCTTAAAAAAAAAAAAAAAGAAGTAATTAAGTTAAAATGGGGTCATTAGAGTAGGCCCTAATCCAATGAGAGATTAGGCCACAGAAGATAGACAAATGACCATGTGAAGACATAGTAAAAAGGCAGACGTTTACAAGCCAAGGAGAGAGGCCTCAGAAGAAACCAAACCTGTCAACAACTTGATCTTCAACTTCTAACCTTCAGAATTATGAGAAAATAAATTTCTGTTGTTTCAGCCAACCAGTATAGGATATTTTATTAAGGCAACCTTAAGGGGCGCCTGGGTGGCTTGGTGGGTTAGGCATCTGCTTTCAGCTCAGGTCATGATCTCAGGTCCTGGGATTGAGCCCCACATTAGGCTCTCTGCTCAGCGGGAAACCTGCTTCTCCCTCTCCCTCTGCCCCACCCCAACCCCCGCTCATGCTCCCTTGAGAGAGAGATTTCTAAATAAAATCTTAAAAAAAAGGCAAACCTAGCAAACGAATACAACTGGTATATATAGCACATCACAGGAAGAGATAAGTAGCTACCATGTGATAAGTATTACTGGTTATGAACATACATAGGCAAGCAGATGAGGGACCAGTTCATCTGGCATGGGAATGATGTGGGATCAGGGAAGTTATGGGAAAGAGATGAGGGTTTTATTTGTTTTTTTAGTAATCTCTTCACTACCCCTAGATTAAGAGTAGCATGCTCATCCAACTGAGCCAGCCAGGCACCCTAAGAGATAAGGGTTTTAATGAATTAATTTCAATGAGCCAACTTTAGGGTCTGGTTATCCTAAAAGTTCATCTACCTGTGAACGTACTTCTATATGCTGCACCAATCAGAGGAAACCATTATAGAAATCACACTTTAGGGGCACCTGGGTGGCTCAGTTGTTAAGCGTCTGCCTTCGGCTCAGGTCATGATCCCAGGGTCCTGGGATTGAGCCCTGCATCGGGCTCAATCCCAGGGTCCTGGGATTGAGCCCTGCATCGGGCTCCCTGCTCAGTGGGAAGCCTGCTTCTCCTTCTCCCACTCCCCCTGCTTGTGTTCCCTCTCTGTGTCTCTCTCTGTCAAATAAATAAATAAAATCTTAAAAAAAAAAAAGAAGAAATCACAGTTTAGAGAGGAATGACCTAGGGTGACCAGTGTGAACAGTCTAGAACCACATCACATGCATATCAGCCTAGGGAAAATATAATGTGACTATTCCTGTTTTCCTCCAAGAACCAGAATGGGTTCCAAAGCAAAAGCTGCATTTACCAAGAATTTCCTGGATGATTGCTACAAAAGCTAATGCAACGTACAGTGAACATCATAATACAGTAGATGCTCTCTTAACTGTGTCTAACTATGTCTACTTAATCAAATCACACTAACCTGTATCTACAGCTAGATTAAACGACAGTCCCCATCCCAAACAGGACTTACTAACTTGATGTTCATGAAATGCCAAGCACGTGTGGCTAGCAGGTTCCTCTATGGCACTCACAGAACACCTGGCCATTTCTGCTGCCATAGGCTAAAGCAGATCCTTAATAATTATCAATTGTTTGTTCCAAACCTGTATATGACCCTTGTATTTGCGGTTTCAATTACATAATAAAATCATATAAACCAATCAAATCAATGCAAAAAGTAAGTTACTGAATCTGTGAAAACCATGTTGAATACTTCGGACATATTTGATAAAGCTTAAAAAAACTGTAGTCAAATTAGGTGTGGTTGAGCAACCACAAAAGGATGGGAAAAGTGGTAAAAACGTAGCAGTATTCAAACTGCTTTACTAGGAGTTTTTTAGGTTTTGCTTTGCTTTAAAGAAACAAACTTTGGGGTGCCTGCCTGGCTTAGTCGGAAAAGCATACAACTCTTGATCTCGGGGTTGTGAGTTCAGCCCCACGTTGGATGCAGAGACTATTTAAATACTTAAAAAAAAAAAAAAGAAACAAACTTCATATTACAAAAGCTGCACTTACGGGCATACTTTGTACTGGGAAGACAAACTACTCCAACACTGAACCCGAAGTCAAAAACAAGGCCTCAGTCCCACATCAAAATATTTGTAAATGAATAAACATTTAACATGGGTGGGTTTTTTTTAAGATTTTTATTTATCTATTTGAGAGAGAGAGAAGCAGGACTCGATGATCCCAGGACCCCGAGATCATGACCTGAGCTGAAGGCAGACGCTTAACCGACTGAGCCACCCAGGCGCCCCCACGTTTAACATGTCTTAAATTAAAATCAAAAGGTATGTATGGATAATTTACTTCTGATTGATTAAAACAACTACTAGACTGAATACGGTTGATAAAGTTTCTATTATACAAGTGGCTGCTTAAAGTGGACAATAAATACATCCTGGCTGCCTCTCAAAACAAGTTGCTTGGTGGGTGGGGGGGGGCGGGAGACAAAAAAAATGAACTGGGAAGAGGTAGGGCCTTTGGATTCGGCAGAACCATGTATAATCCCTGCTCTGTCACTTATTAATTATAAAACCCTGAGCAAGTAAGTTAATGGCTAAATCTGTTTTCCCGTGTATAAAATGGAGCTGATGATGCCTGTCTAATACAGTCGCTTTGCTAATGAAATGAGATGATGCATTAAAGCCTAGCACAGTGGCTACACACGGGAAGCATTCACTATTCATGGGCTGTGTACCCACCATCCACCTAATTCTTTTAGGACTCAACTTAAACCTATCCATATTTAAATACTCACACAGAGGCTCCCAGCCAGAAGCAGGAAACACTGTAGGGACCTAAGTATCTGTCAAAAGAATAAATATGGAAACACAGGTGTTTGGCAGGCACACAAACTAATGAAATTTGATGGAGCAATTTTTTTTTTTTAGATTTTTTTTTTATTTATTTGCGAGAGAGAGAATGAGAGACAGAGAGCATGAGAGGGAGGAGGGTCAGAGGGAGAAGCAGACTCCCCGCCGAGCAGGGAGCCCGATGCGGGACTCGATCCCGGGACTCGATCCCGGGACTCCAGGATCATGACCTGAGCCGAAGGCAGTCGCTTAACCGACTGAGCCACCCAGGCGCCCTAATGAAGCAATTTTAAGAATCAAGAGATCTTCTTTCAAACCAGTATTTCCGGGCAACCAGTATCACTTTTCTTTTTTTTTTTTTTTTTAAAGATTTTATTTATTTGCCAGAGAGAGACACAGCGAGAGAGGGAACCCAAGCAGGGGGAGTGGGAGAAGGAGAAGCAGGCTTCCCGCGGAGCAGGGAGCGCAGTGTGGGACTCGATCCCAGGACCCCGGGACCATGACCTGAGCCGAAGGCAGACACTTAACGACTGAGCCACCCAGGTGCCTCAACCAGTATCACTTTTCAAACAAAAAAAAAACACTTCTGCTTTCCCCCAAAACAAACCTCACTTCTCACAATGTACTATTCTTTTCAGTTAACACTGGTACTTAATTTGCTAACATTCCATTTGGAATTTTTGCATCTATGTTCATGGGAGTGGTCTGCAATTGTTTCTTGTTTTTTTTTTTTTTTTTCCTAAAAATGACTGGGTCAGACTTTGGTATTGAGTCTAGGGTGGGCTTGTGAAAGTAGTCTGAAAGTGTACACAATACCACTTCTGAGATTAAACAAGGCAGTTCAACTGTTTTACTCTGGATTTTGGTTGTTGACCTTAGTAAGTCATTCTGCTCCACACTGTATATACAATTACCTCATCTCTACTGTCACTGTCCTTCTCCTCCAACGTCTCGTCTTCCCCATCTTCTATCTCCTTCGCAAAACGACTCATTTTCTTCTGTTCACCTGGATTTTTTTCCCCCCGCTTAAAATGGACACGATTATTAGGCTCATCACAGGGCCTTCAACATTCCATGGGCTAAGCACATTTTCTCTCCGGTATCTGTAATAAGTTTCTGTTTGTAACAAACACATGTCAGGCCTCATCTTAAAGTTACTTTCATTTTGAATCTTTCACTCACAGTAGTGAATATCAAAATATTTAGAAAAAGATAATTTTTGGCATCTATTTGTAGGTCCGATGTCCCATACCTTGTCTTTTGCCACGATCTAGAAATGGTGAACTCCTCGAGGTATTAGGCAAGCTTCCAAGAACTCCTCCCTTTCCCTCTCAACACGCGTTTTCAAATAATTTCGATGTTTTTAAAAAATTGATTCCACGACCAGCTGCCCAAATGAAAGCACACAGGGCCAAAATAAAGCCCCCTTACAGGTAAAAAATCAGTACCTACAATTCAAGTGTCTTTACCTTTCCAGACCGAGAACTCAGTGTTAAGTGGAGCAGCGTCCATCTCTACCTCCCTGCAGCACAAATAAGGAGTCTCACACCAGAACCCAGAACCGCCACTTCTCTAGTAACCCGCACAGTCTCGTCCCTCCTGGGGAGGCGATCGCGGGTGTACGGCCCCGCCCACCCAGAGCCACCGCGCACTGCAGAGCCGGGGGCGAAGCCCCAAAGGGGCCCGCCGCAGGCCGCAGGCGCCGACAGGTCTGGAACGCCCTCCCGGCGGCAACCGGAGATGGAGACCCGGGCGACACACACACTCCGGAAGAAGACGGACCCCTCGTGACCCCGCCTCGGCCAATCAGAGCCCGCACCGCCTCTGGGCCAATCCCGAGCCGCGAACCCAAGGAGGGGGCGGACAAGCGCGAGCCTGGGGGCGGGGTCTCGAGCCGGGGCAGCCAGTGCTACGCCTGCGCGCCGGACGGGCGTTTTAGTCCGTTTGTCTCGGTTCTCGCGGGCGTCCTGCCATTGGCGCAGATAGGCGGGCCAGAAGGTCAAATCCCCAGTAAGTTCGGGAATTTGGCGGGCGGCCACACGTCTCGGCACGCCTTTGTTGGTGGGCCCGGAGAAAGTGAATAACCGTCGCAAAAGCAGCCTCCCGTCGCGGGCTCGTGAGCGAAGCTAGATGGGTGCCAGGCGCTTGCGTCGGTTAACCTGGTTAGGCCGCCGCCCGCGCAGTGGGGCGGGCGTGAGTCCTCTCATTTCCAGCCGAGAAGGAGGCGCGTGCCTTCTAACGCGGGGCAGAGCCGAGACCAGGACCCGGCAGGCGGCCTTGGGGGTCGCCCTGTTGACGCCGGGCACCGCGCCCTCGCCGCCCGCCAGCGCCTGCCGCTGCCGTGGAAGCAGTGACAGCGCTGATGGTGGTAGCCAAGGTCGTTAGTACCTGTTTTGTCCCGGGCATTGTTGCTTTCCACGCATTTTATGCACTTCTCTAAACTTGTGACTTAGACGTTTTAATAGTTTCATTTTACATGTAAGGAAATTGAGGCTCACAGAACGGGAACTCCACAGCTATTGACTTGCATCCTCCATTACTAAATATTATTTCTTTGAGTTAAAACCATCAGTAATATGCTCTTTCAATCACCCTTAGTACCGGTTGACCCAGTAGAGGATCAAAATGCTAGGAATTATCCCCATACCGGGACTGGAAAAGAGCGCCTGGGGATGTGTGTGTGTTTTGGGAGTGGGGAGTCCTAGCTTCAGAAAGTCCTGAACTGGAAGGAAGGAGAATAGGAAAAACAATTTGCCTACATATTTTAGATTTGGTACCTCACTAAAGACTTACCTAACTAAACTGATCAATGACAACCCAAAAGAAAGCAGGAATCCATTTCACCTATGAATAAAGATGCAAGGTTCAAATAAAATATTAGCAATTTGAGCAAATTGAATGAAGCAGTGTAGTAAAAAAAATTATCGACAGTAGGATTTAACCCTGGAATGCAAGGATGTTTCAAGGTAAAGAAATGGGCCAAACTAACAGACTAAAGGAAGAAAAACCATGTAATTTGAAATAAAGCCCATCTGTGAAAATGAAACATTTGATGACAAGTTACCAAGCATTCTTATTAAAATCAGTAATAAGAGGGTGCCTGGCTGGCTCAGTCCCTAGAGCATGAGGCTCTTGATCTCTGGGAGGTGAGTTCCAGCCCCATGAGTGGCATAGAGTTTACTTAAAATAAAAAAAATAAATACATATTTTTTTAAATCAGTAATAAGAGCTTGGGATTTGAATGTCATTCCTAAGGAACAAAGAGCAAAATCTGTAAATGAAATTAAGACATATTTGACTATAAACAATTTAAAACTTCTGGATGCAAGATTGTCTGCAAACAAATTTAAAATATAAGGAATAGGGGCGCCTGGGTGGCTCAGTTGTTAAGCATCTGCCTTCGGCTCAGGTCATGGTCCCAGGGTCCTGGGATCGAGCCCCGCATCGGGCTCCCTGCTCCTAGGGAAGCCTGCTTCTCCCTCTCCCACTCCCCCTGCTTGTGTTCCCTCTCTGGCTGTGTCTCTCTCTCTCAAATAAATAAATAAATAAATCTTAAAAAAAATAAAATATAATATAATATAAGGAATAAATTGGAAAGAAATATTTGTAACGTACATAACAAAAACAGTATCAGAATATGAAAGAACTATAAATCAGTAAGAAAAAGACAAAAATGGGCAAAGAATATGAAAAGCGATTTTCAAAAGAAATTTAAGTAGCACATAAAGTTGTGAAAAATGCTCAACTATACAACCATCAGGGAAATACAATTTAAAATGATAAGATATCGGGGCACCTGGGTGGCTCAGTTGGTTAAGCATCTGACTCGGTTTCTGCTCAGGTCATGATCTCAGGATTGAGAGATGGAGCCCAGGTAAGGCCTCGAGCTAGGTGGGGGTCTGCTTGAGATTCTCTTTCCCTCTTCCTCTGCCCCTTCCCACATCCTATGTACTCTCTCCCAAATGATGTTTTTTTTTAAAAAAATAAATAAAATAAGACACTATTTGTATCCATCAGATTAACAGAAATTAAAACATCAATTGAAGGGCGCCTGAGTGGCTCAGTCGATGGGCGTCTGCTTTCGGCTCAGGTTATGATCCCGGGGTCCTGGGATCGAGCCCCGCATCGGGCTCTCAGCTCAGTGGGGATCCTGCTTCTCCCTCTCCCTCTGCTGTTCCCCCTGCTTGTGTTCCCTCTCTCACTGTCTCTCTCTCTCTGTCAAATAAATAAATAAAATCTTTAAAAAAAACCCAAAAAACATCAATCGAGCTTCTGCTCCGCAGGAAGCCTGCTTCTCCCTCTCCCACTCCGCCTGCTTGTGTTCCCTCTTACGCTGTCTCTCTCTGTCAAATAAATAAATAAAATCTTAAAAAAAAAGAGAAATTAAAACATCAAACAACAAGTGTTTGGGGATTGTGGGAAACCGGCAAATTGTGTAGGGGAGGATATATATTTTTTTGCTCTACCCTTCTAAGTTCTGGGCTGGGGGCCCTGTAACAAAAGAGATTAACAAGAGAAAAGCATATAAATTTCTTTATCACAAGTTTTATGTAACATGGGAGCCTTCAAAAGGAAATGAAGACCTGAAGAAGAGGGTAAGCCTGAGTGTTTTTATGCTATTTTTGATAGAGACTTATGGGAACATGGATGGGACAAAGGAATATGAGCTCAGTGTAGTAAACTGGGAGAAACAGCAAGGCCTGTTGGTTCAGATTCCTCCTGGTGTCTTAGAGAAAACGGTGCTCCTTTCCTCTGGGTATAGGGAGGGCACCTCTCACATGAGAGCCTATGGCCTGCCTCAGGGTAAGTCAGAGTCCTTCCTGCACCTGCTTTGTGTCAAATTCCTTTAGCTTAAAATATTTAGTATGCCGAGGTGCCATATTTAGGGGTAATTTGTCCTGAACCCCCTTATTACAAACACCCAGAGAGAAATTTGGCAATTTCCAGTCAAGGTAAAAATTCTCATTCCTTACGTTTAGGAATTCCCCTTACAGGTATCTAACCTAGAGGAGCAGTCACACTGATAGACAAATACGTGAATTTTTCTTGCAAACTTAAAAATAATTTTATTATGGACATTTCCAAACATACATTAAGTAGAGAGAATAAAAAAATGAATCCACCTTTACCCATCACCCAGCTTCAAAACTTCAATATTTTTTTAAGATCTTATTTATATATTATTTGAGAGAAAGAGCAAGAGATTGAGAAAACGAGTGGGAGGAGGGGCAGAGGGAGAAGCAGACTCCCCGTGGAGCAGGGAGCCCGACGTGGGGCTAGATCCCAGGACCCTGGGATCATGACCTGAGCCGAAGGCACACGCTTAACCAACTGAGCCACCCAGGCACTCAAAACTTCAATATTTTGCCAATTTTTTCAAACTATTCCTTGCCTCACTTTTCCTCTCTCCTCCCTTCCTTTTTTTTTCTTATTTTAATCTGAATCCTAGTCATCCTATCATTCACCTATAAACACTAATTTAGTATGTGTGGTAACATGCTGTTGGCTTGATACCATCTAATAGCTAGTCTGTGTTTGATTTTCTGTCTCAAAAATGTCTTTTTACTGTTGGTTTGCTTGAATTAGGATTCAAAAGTTTCAAAAAATTTTTCAAAAATTTCCACACATTACATTTGGTTGATATGTCTTAAATCATTTTAAATCTATAATAGAGAACCTTATATATATATATGATAGGTGGCACCTGGGTGGGTTCAGTCAGTTATGTGTCCAACTCTTGATTTAGTCTCAGGTCATGATCTCAGGGTCGTGAGGTTGAGCGCTGCATTGAGCCCCACATCCAGCCCTGCATCCAGCCCCACATCGAGCCCCATGGCTGACTCGGCACTCAGCGGGGAGTCTGCTTCTCTCCCTCTCCCTCTCCCCCTCCTCTCTCTAATAAGTAAATAAAATCTTTAAATATGTATGTAATAGAGAACCTCTTTTATTAAATTTTTAATTTAAATTTAATTAATTAACATATAATGTATTATTAGCTTCAAGGTAGAGTTCAGTGATTCATCAGTTGCATATAACACCCAGTGCTCATTACATCACGTGCCCTCCTTAATACCCATCACCCAGTTACCCCATCCCCCCACCACCTCCCCTCCAGCAACCCTCAGTTTGTTTCCTATAATTAAGAGTCTCTTATGGTTTGTCTCCTTCTCTGATTTCGTCTTATTTTATTTTTCTCTCCTTTACCCTATGATCCTCTGTTTTGTTTCTTAAATTCCACATATGAGTGAAATCATATGATATTTGTCTTTCTCTGACTTATTTCACTTAGCATAATGCCCTCTAGTTCTATCCACATCATTGCAAATGGTAAGATTTCATTTTTTGAAGGCTGAGTAATATTCCACTGTATATATATATACCACATCTTCCATTCATCTGTCGTTGGACATCTAGGCTCTTTTCATAGTTTGGCTATTGTGGACACTGCTGCTATAAACATTGGGGTGCAGGTGCCCTTTCAGATCACTATTTTTGTATCCTTTGGGTAAATACCCAGTAGTGTAATTGCTGGGTTGTAGGGTAGCTCTATTTTCAACTTTTTGAGGAACCTCCATACTGTTTTCCAGAGTGGCTGCACCAGCTTGCATTCCCACCAACAGTGTAGGAGGGTTCCCCTTTCTCCGCAACCTCACCAACATTTGTTGTTTCCTGACTTGTTAATTTTAGCCATTCTGACCGGTGTGAAGTGGCATCTCATTGAGGTTTTGATCTGGATTTCCCTGATGCCGAGTGATGTTGAGCATTTTTTCATGTGTCTGTTGGCCATTTGTATGTCTTCTTTGGAGAAATGTCTGTTCATATCTTCTGCCCATTTCTTGACTGGATTATTTGTTTTTTGGGTGTTGAGTTTGATAAATTCTTTATAGATTTTGGATACTAGTCCTTTATCTGATATGTCATTTGCAAATACCTTCTCTCATTCTGTCTGTTGTCTTTTTATCTTGATGAAGTTCCAATAGTTCATTTTTGCTTTTGTTTCCCTTGCCTTTGGAGACCTGTCTAGCAAGAAGTTGCTACAGCCAAGGTCGAAGAAGAGAACCTCTTTTAAATGTTATCTATTTATTGAAGAAACCAAGTCATTTGTCCTATAGAATTTATCCTTATTCTGGATTTGGCTGACACCTTTAAGGTATCTTGAACATATTTGTCCACCCTCAGTTCTTGTAAACTGGTAGTTAGATCTGGAGCCTTCATTAGATTAAAGCTCAGGGTTTTTTGCAGTAAGACTTCATGGTTGGTGGCATGTACTTCTTTTGCCTACCTCTAGGGGGCACTTAATGCCCGGTTGTCCCACTTTAGAGATGTTAAAACTGATCAGTTTGGGTGTTCTCGCTTCATCATCCATTATAACCATTGATTTTCCACCTGATGGTCCTAGGCAGTTTGTTTTGTAAAGCAAATGATTGAAAACAATCTATTATTCATTATGGGGGCAGGGGATATGTGTGAGGAAATGATCGGAATCAAATTGCCAGAATCTTAACAGAGGTTAATTTCGGTGCTGGGAATAGAAGTACTACTTTCGGGGCACCTGGCTGGCTCAGTGGGAAAAGAGTTCAAGGGTGTAGAGATTACTTAAATAAATTGGAAAAGAAAATTTTTTAAGTATTACTTTCATTTTTGTACTTTTTTTTTTTTTAATTTACTAAAATAGAAACAAAAGAAATCCTGCCTATGCATGTCTAACAAAGGTAAACCAGACAGGGAAAAAGATTGGCGGGAAAATTCCAAATCCAAATTCCAGGAAGAACAGCCAGGAAAGTACAGAGAAGGACAGCTGTGAATGTGGAACACAGTCTGCTTTGCTTTGTTTTTGCCTGTCTGATGTCCACGCCTCCTCCCGACAGCCTTCATTCCCTTTAGGGTCTCCTCCCTCCTTCCCTGGATTCAGTTTTGGTGGAATTGCCCTTAAAGATGCTCCACCCTCCCCTGGCCAGAGCTCAGAGGCCAGTCAGACCCCGTCTCCCAGGACTTTGAGTCTTGAGCAGCATCACTTCCTCCTGGACGCCTTCCCTCCCCTGGGGCAGGTGCCCCTTTTCTGTGCCCCCAGAGTCCCAGCTGTCAGAGCACTTACACGCCAGTATATTTGTATGTCCCCGTTCCAGCTCTGTATGATGCCAGGCGCACGGTGCTCAACAGATGTTAGCTGAATGGATGATGCCCACCTGGCTTTAATGCTGATGAAGGTACATGAATCTTAGCTAAAAAGATCCCAGGTCCTCTTGCAGATGTTCCAGAGAATGTGGTAGCAGCTTCCAGGCCTTCCAGTCTCGCCCCAGCCTCGGGCCACTTCTCCTGAGCAAGGGTACTCTTACCAGTCAGGTATAGCCTTCCATGAGTCCCTCCCCTGGGCCTTGGGCCTCTGTTCCTAAACAGCCCCCCTGTTGTCCTTCCCTGCCCTGTGCAGAAGCTTGAAACAGGGTGAGGTTGGGGTACAGCGTTTCAAGAGGCCACACAGAGGGACAATTACCTTAGAGAGTAACTACCTTCCTCACACTAAACCTTGTAGATTTAGGCACTTGGACACTGTTTGGAAGGATGCTGTTGTCAGTATGGGCCTGGGAGTTTTATTTGGGTGCAGGCAGGTGGCACATTCTCTGTTTAGAGATGTCAATACCTTTCAGTCCAGTCTGGCTTTGGCCCCAGGTCATTCTGACTTTTAAGGGTAATTAGTGGCTGAGCCCAGATTCAAACCTGGGCAGCCTGACTCCAGAGTCCTTGCTCACCACTTCTGTACCCTACTGCTTTGTCAGGAGAAGCACACTCCGGTTCTCTTCTTGTGCTGACGAGGTTTTTAGACTGTTAGAAACATGTAAATATGTCTCTAGCATCAAATTCCTTAAGTCTGTCCTCATTTTTCTTGTCTTAAAAAAGAAAAAAAAGAGGGGCGCCTGGGTGGCTCAGTCAGTTGAGCCTCTGATTCTTGATTTCGGCTCAGGGCATGATATCAGGGTCATGAGATTGAGCCCCATGTCAGGCTCTGCACTCAGTGGGGAGTCTGCTTGTCCCTCTCCCTCTGCCCTTCCCCCCTGCTTGTGCGCATGCTCTCTCTCTCTTGCACGCATGCTCTCTCTAAAATAAAATCTTTAAAACAAAAACCCCACAAAAGATAGTTTTAAAAACAACGAGCTAGAGGGACAATGATCATGAAGTACTACAGACTGTTTGTTGTTTGGGGTTGTAACAAATCAGTGATAACATCTGCTCATCTTAGAAATGTGTAAAGATAACCACTAGTAGAACAAACAATGCATAACCTTCAAACCAGTGAACAGATGAATCTGTTAAGGTTCTCAGCTGCAAACAACAGCAAACGACTCTAGCCAACTCAAGCAGAAAAGGAATTTATTGAAAAGCTCTCAGCAGCTCAGAACATCAACAGGAAGGCTGGAAAAGCTGGCAGAGAAAATGGGCAGAAACCAAGGGAGGCTGGGTGGCAGGAGGCCCACGGATCGTCACGGGTCTCAGTATCACTCGCTCCAGAGAAGGAGTCCCATGTCGGATCATCCAGCTGTCTGAGTGCAAGTCATGGGCCACAGGGTGACATCAGCAGTGGAGAGCATCTGGGAGCCTTTCAGCTTCTGTAGTGAGAGCCTGGGCTTGGTCTCCAATGAGTCACACACTGAGGGGTTCCCACCCCCCTCCCTCCCACACACATGGGGAATGGGAGGCCCTCAGTGGGTGCCAAGCAAAGAACATGCCAGGAGTGGCTCTGGGGGGGTGGTGCGGGGGGACACAGAGGTCGGGGGAGGGAACAGGAATTGGGGGGTGGTGAGCTGGTGAGGAAGTAGAGAATAATTTCCGCCTTGTTGGTCTTAGGTTTTCCAGCAGTTCTGTTACGAGTCGTGATTTATGCACACACACAGAAAACCACAGGTGAAGTGCCGAAGTGTGACACTCTGAAATGTCAGGGCCCCTTTTATTTTTTTTTTTTAAGATTTTATTTATCTATTTGAGAGAGAGAGAATGAGAGAGAGCACATGAGAGGGGGGAGGGTCAGAGGGAGAAGCAGACTCCCCGCCGAGCAGGGAGCCCGATGCGGGACTCCAGGATCATGACCTGAGCCGAAGGCAGTCGCTTAACCAACTGAGCCACCCAGGCGCCCAGGGCCCCTTTTATTTTGCAAACAAGGGACCAAGGCTGGGAAAGGTGATGCCACCTGGCAAGGAGGTGGCAGCAGGGCTGAGATCAGAACCAGGTCCCCCGGATCCCTGGCAGCCCCGCTGCCCAGCCACCCCACCAGGTGGAGATCCAGACTGGGTGGGGGCCTTGGAGGATCAGGTTGGCAGGGGTCCCAGGCACAAGCCAAGAGCTAGAGAGGGCCAGAAGGGGTCAGAACCTACAGAATCTCAATGAGAAATGGGAAGGAAAGGTGGGGCCCCATGAACACATTTCAGAAAGTGGGGGTGGGGGTGGGGGAGACCCCAGGCGGAGGCTTGCTCTGCCAGTTAACCAGCTGCCTTGTTTCTGTAGAGGAAGGACTTCACCTGTGGGCCTGGGGCTCTGGAGGGCAGGCAGCGACCTTATATCCCTTCCAAAATCTTGGGGGGGGGGAGTCGCTGAGGTGCCGGTCCGAGCTTATCGGCTGAAGTGAGGACGGGGCACAAGGGGGAACAGGTCATGAAGAGGAGGGCAAGTGTGGTTCCCAAAACTGCATGTGGCACTCTGACACTCAGAAGGGGTCAGTCTCTTACAGCCCCTCTCAGCCACCATTCTCAGTCAGCGGGTGGATCCTGATGCCCGGGGGGCCCAGGTCACACAGGGTGCTGCCCATGGTCACCCTGCTGAGGCTGTGGGAGTTGCGGCAGGGTCTGTGGTATTGGCACCGAGTCCTCAAGCACAGGGCTTCCTGGAAAGTCTCCCTGAAGCGGCTCGACATGATGTTGTAGAGCACAGGGTTAATGGCCAAGCTGAGGTAGAAGAAGATGCCGGAGGTAACATGCACGTACTGGAAGGCCAGTTCCAAGCCCTCGGTCCACTGGTACACAAAGCTCCACATGAGGCGGTCAGCGTGGAAAGGGGCCCAGCAGATCCCAAACACCACGACCAGCACAACTGTGGGGGTACAAAGGGGAGACTTGGGTGCCTGCCAGACTGCCTTCCCTGGGCTTCAGGGTAGTCTGCCCATTCTCACCGTGCCACCCATGCCCATTGTCCATCTGGAAGGCTCTGGAAGGCTGCCTGCGCTAGCCTCAGCACCCCCTTCAGAGAGGCTGGGCCACCGTCACTGCCTGGGCAGTGGGCGTGTGCCCTACCCCTGGCCACAGTCAACTGGACCAGGTGAGGATGCCTGAGCCAAGGTGGCCCAGTCTGGCTCTCCCATCACAGAGTTTGGAACTAGGTGGCTCTTAGCTAAGAGGTCGCCCAGCTTCCCAGAGCTTCCCTCCAGCTGTGGCGTCAACCAGCCATGCCCTTCCTCGGGTCTCTGTCATCGGGCTTGTCTTGATTTTTGTTTCTTCTTGCTTGTGTTTGCTTCTCTGACTGCCTGTCTTCCCCTGCAGTGCCTTCCCCGCCACACCCCAGCACCGTTTTCCCTCATCATCCAGGATTTCGACCAGGATGCTGCTTACAACATCCCCAGCCCGTAGCCTGATGTACCTAGTCCCTCAGAAAGCGAAGCTGGGGGAAGGAGGGAGGGAGGCAGGGAGAGAAGAAAGCCGGAGCCCCAGGCCAGCAAGCAAGGCAGCCTTAAGGAAACACCCCAGCTTCCCAGGGCGAGAGCCATCCCAGCTGAGCAGACTTGGTCCCTGCAGGGCAAGGGAATAGGGGGCAGAGGCAGAGTGGGCAGGGGGCGGTCTGTAGTGCAGGCTTCGCAGGGCACAACTGAGAGGCAAGCTTGAAACTCTGGGGTCAGTCCCATCTTAGGGAGTTGCTCAGGTGGCCTTGGACTCTGGGACACTGTCCTGGGGGACAAGAGGAATGGGTCTCTCTCTGGGAATGGGGCAGTCCCCAGTTAGCCGGCTATAATCCCATGGCTTTGACCAAGGTCTCACTACCTCTGTCTTGCCCTGGCTCACTCCATCTACCTGATTCAGGCCCCGCTAGGGTGGGGCAGGATGGGTAGGAAATCAAGGATTGGCCTAGTATCATTTTGTCTGGCTTCCCCAGGGCCTCTCTTTTTGTAAAAGAGCCAGACATAGACCACAGTAAGACCCAGAGCCTCAACCCAGCGGGCCGGCCCCAATCCTTCTGCCCTGACTCTCCTGTGCTCTGCACACTGACCCTCACAAACACACCTCCTGACGAGCTTCTATTAGACAGTGGGTCCTCTAGGAACCACAGATACAGCATGGAGGAAATGTATCATCTTGCCCCTCCAACACCTTGCTCCCCTTCTTTCGGGACCTTTGTTCCCCTCAGATCCCAGCGTGTGAGTCTGCGGGGGCTGCAAACCGCAACAGGCTGCCACTCTGGCCTGGGGACAGGCTATGACCTAAGCCCACCAATCAGAATCCTGCCCTGGGACAGGCACAAAGGGAAGAGGGCAGTTCCTCAAGAAAGAGGAACACTCTGTGCCCATGGCCCTGCCTCCCAGGCTGCTCTAGGGAAGGACAGAGCCAAGACAAGTTCAGGAGCAAAGATGAGAGACCTGGCAAGTCCAGCTCCCACAAACGGCTCTGCCTTCCTGGAACCCAGCCACGTGCCCCTGCCCAGTCCGTGGCTGGATTCCATGAGTCAGTGCCAGCCACCAGGGAGCACCACTTGTGCATCTGCATGGGCCTCCAAGCTGAGAAGCACCCCGGGCTTCGTTTAATGCTCGACTACTGCTGTCTGGACCATCATGATGACTTTGAAACAAGGGATCCCCAAATTTGCATTTTGCACTGGGCCCCACAAATCACGTGGCCCATCCTGCCGTTTACCTTTGGTATGAGTTTCTCACCGAGTAAAGCACGCGCGCGTGCACACACACAGGGCGGGGTGGGGGCGGTGGTGGCAACCCCAAACCTCACACTCAGCCTCCATCAGAAACCCAGACACTCAGCCCCCCGGGTCCTGGAGGCTCTAGCCTCGTACCCAGCGCTAGGCCCAGCCTCTCTTCCCAGCAGCAACACTTACACAGCATCTTGGTCACCTGTGTCCGGCTCTGATCCTGCGACCGCTGAAACCTGCAGCTGTCACTGGGCCTGGCCCTGGCCTCCTGCCTGAGCAGCCACAATCTCTCACGCCGCAGCTGAAGCCCGATGAGCAGGTAGAGCACGCTGATGGTGGCCATGGGCAGGCAGAAGAAGAACAGAGTGGTGATCTGCATGACCAGGTTGTAGAGAGCCTGCGAGTGGACCAAGGTGCACCTAGCCGAGTGGGGCACTATGCCCCGGCAGGGCAGTTCCAGCTGCTGGATGCCATGCAGGCTGGTGTTAGGCAGAGAACAAAGCACAGCGAAGCCCCAGATGGCCCCGAGTACACGGCGCACGTGGACCCGAGTCATCATGGACCTGGCCTGCAGCGGATGCACCACGGCCATGTAGCGCTCCACACTCAGGGCGGTGACATTGAGCACGGAGGCCAGGCAGACTGTCTCGAAGAGCAGCGTGCGGAAGTAGCAGCCCCCAGCGCCCAGCAGGAAGGGGTAGTTACACCACATCTCATAGAGCTCCAGCGGCAGACCCACAAGCAGCACCAGCAGGTCGGACACAGCTAGGCTGAAGAGGTAGTAGTTGGTGGGGGTACGCATGGCCTTGTGGCGCAGGATGACCGTGCAGGTCAGCCCATTGCCCACGGTGCCCACCACGAAGATCAGCAGGTACATGGCGCAGATGGGCACAAACAGCTCTGTCTGCTGGGGCCCCAGGTACTTGAGTCTCAGTTCTTCATCAGTGAGGTTCAAGTCCTCAGGGTCGTGGAGCCCCGAGGCCCTACTGCCATTGCAGGGCAAAAGGCTCCTTGCATCCCCTGGGGACAAGTCTCCAAGGTGGATGGAGCAGTTGAAGCAGAGAGGGGCCTGTGGAACAAAACAGAGAGACACCCAGAAAAGTCACTCAAAAATGCCCGGTAATTCATTAAACCAAAGGTGCCAGGGACACTAAGAGGAACGATATTTTAGGTACCGCTGGGAAATAAAAAACTCTGTCATCCATTGTAAGGTGTGTAACAATTTCAGAGATGTAAAAGTGTACATCTTAAAAATGAGAAAAAGCAGGGGCGCCGGGGTGGCTCAGTCGTTAAGCATCTGCCTTCGGCTCAGGTCATGATCCCGGGGTCCTGGGATCGAGCCCCGCATCGGGCTCTCTGCTCCGCGGGAAGCCTGCTTCTCCCTCTCCCACTCCCCCTGCTTGTGTTCCTGCTCTCGCTGTGTCTCTCTCTGTCAAATAAATAAATAAAATATTTTTAAAAAATGATAAAAAGCAGGATTCGGTTCTAAATGTCATGATCCACTGAAGTCTGAATAAAAGATGGTTCCTCTGGAGCATGAGCTTTGCAGCCAGCAGTCTCCCCTTGGGTATCTCCCCTTTCAAGCCCTGGACTTCGGGAGAGAGACTCAGTTTGGGCATCTATAAAATGGGCACAACATGCAGTACCTGATCTTATCAGTATGGTGTTTAAGAACAAGAATGAAACTGGACCATTTCCTTACAGCACACACAAAAATAGACTCAAACTGGATGAAAGACCTAAATGTGAGACAGGAATCCATCAGAATCCTTGAGGAGAACACAGGCAGCAACCTCTTTGACCTCAGCTGCAGCAATTTCTTCCTAGAAACATCACCAAAGGCAAGGGAAGCAAGGGTAAAAATGAACTATTGGGACTTCATCAAGATAAAAAGCTTTTGCAGAGCAAAGGAAACAGTTGACAAAACCAAAAGACAACCGACAGAATGGGAGAAGATATTTGCAAATGACATACCAGATAAAGGGCTAGTATCCAAAATCTATAAAGAACTATCAACTCAACACCCAAATAACAAATAATCCAACCAAGAAATGGGGAGAGGACATGAACAGACATTTCTGCAAAGAAGACATCCAAATGACCAACAGACACATGAAGAAGTGCTCAACATTGCTCGGCATCAGGTAAATCCAAATCAAAAGCTCAGTGAGATACCACCTCACACCAGTCAGGATGGCTAAAATGAACAAGTCAGGAAAACGACAGATGTTGGCGAGGATGCAGAGAAAGGGGAACCCTCCTACACTGTTGGTGGGAATGCAAGCTGGTCCAGCCTCCCTGGAAAACAGTATGGAGGTTCCTCAAAAAACTGAAAATAGAGCTACCGTATGATCCAGCAATTGCACTACTGGGTATTTACCCCAAAGATACAAATGTAGTGATCCAAAGGGGTGCGTGCACCCCAATGTTTATAGCAGCAGTGTCCACAATAGCCAAACTATGGAAAGACCCAGATGTCCATCAACAGATGAATGGATAAAGAAGATGTGGTATATATATACAATGGAATATTATGCAGCCATCAAAAAACCCAAAATCTTGCCATTTGCAACGACGTGGGTGGAACTAGGGGGTATCATGCTAAGCGAAATAAGTCAATCAGAGAAAGATAAGTATCATACGATCTCACTGATATGAGGAATTTGAGAAAAAGGCAGAGGATCATAGGGAAAGGGAGGGAAAAATGAAACAAGACGAAACCAGAGAGGGAGACAAACCATAAGAGACTCTTAATCTCAGGAAACAAACTGAGGGTTGCTGGAGGGGAGGGGGGTGGGAGGGATGCGGTGGCTGGGTGATGGGCATTGGGGAGAATATGTACTATGGTGAGCGCTGTGAATTGTGTAAGACTGATGAATCACAGACCCGTATCCCTGAAACAAATAACACATTATATGTTAATAAAAACAATTAAAAAAAAAAAAAAGAACAAGGGCTCTGGAAGCAACTGCCTGGATTCAAATCCAACCTCCCCAGTTCTGGGCTGTGTGACCATTTGCATGGGAACCTCTCTGTTTCCTTATTGCAAGGATCCAGGCAGTTTAATCTACAAAAGGTACTAGCGTGGGGCCTCCTGACACACAGAAGGGCTTGGTTATCAGCCACCTCGCAGTGAGGACTGAGTCACTGTGGGGATCAAGCGAGGGGGTAAAAGGGCTAAACACGAGAATGCTGACCCAAAAGTTGGTCCTTATTTCTGTTTCCTAACACCTGCACTGTTAAAAGTTGAAATATTTGACAACCTTGACATGGCCGGTTCTGGGGTTCCCTCTCCTTTGTCGGGTCCCCATCTCTGCCAGTCCATGGGATATAGTGGTTAAGGACCCAGGCCATGGAGCTAAACACACTGGCCCGAGGTCAAATGCCAGCTCAGCTACACTCTAGCTGTGACGGCTCCTCACCGTGCCTCAGTCTTCACATCTATAAAATGGGGGTGTCCACAAAGCTTACTTCATAATTTCTGTGAAGATTAAATGTGAAAACACATATAAAGTTCTCAGGGTGTGCCTGGTACATTTCAGGTGTGCAATATCAATGCAGAGTAACAATATCCTTACTTCCCACATGGAAAGGGAAAAACAGTCCAAGGGAGGGGCACGTGGCTGGCTCAGTCGGTCGCTTTTGATCTTGGGGTTGTGAGTAGGAGCCAGATATTGGGTGTGGAGATAACTTAAAAATAAAATCTTAGGGGCACCTGGGTGACTCAGTCATTAATCTACCGACTCTTGATTTCAGCTTTGGTCATGATCTTGGGGTCTTGAGATCAAGCCCAGTGTCAGGCTCTGCGCTCAGCAGGGAGTCTGGGATTCTCTCTCTCCCTCTGCACCACCCCCCTCAAATAAATAATTCTTTTTTTTCCCTAAGATTTAGTGCAGAATTCTTTTTTTTTTTTTTTAAGAATTTATTTATTTATAGTCAGAGAGAGAGTACAAGCTGGGGGAGCGGCAGGAAGAGGGAGAAGCAGGCTCCCCACTAAGGAGGGAGTCCGATTCAGGGCTCCATCCCAGGACCCCGGGATCATGACCGGAGCTGAAGGCAGACGCTTAACCGACGGTGCCACCCAGACATCCCTCAAATAAATAATTCTTAAATAAAATAAAATAACTCTTAAAAAAAAAAAAAAAAAAAGAACAGTCCAAGGGAGATGGGGCAGGGGCTGAAACAGGATTTGTCTGGGCAGGTGTTTGGTGGGACAGGCCAGGAGCTGGGGACAGTCCTCCTTAGCCCTTTTGCCCAGCCCACCGCCAACACCACCCCTCCCCTCAGGGCAACCGCGGACTTTCAGGCTCCGTTCCTGGACCCTCTTCCTATTCCTTCAGCTCCAATTCATCTTCTCAATAGGAGTTTGGGGCCCATGTACCACCATCCAACTTTCTTTCTAGGTCCTTTTCTCTCCCAGACCCCAAGAATTCTTAATCCTGAACCTCCACCCAGAAGTCTCCCCCAACCTCCTTGTTAATCCCATACCTGCTCCGCATTCTGGGATGGAGGGGCATTTTCACTCACCCAGGCTGCTCACCTGACCGCCTACAAGGCTGGAGCCCAGCGGGGAGCCCGGTGGGGTGCGGGGGGGGGATGAGCGGGCGGCGCGCAGGTGCCGACCAGGGTTCGAGGGGGGGATCTCTGCGCCACCGGGAAGGGTCGCAGCGCCGGTGTCCGGCAACAAGACAGAAATAACCCGGAGGCTGCGACTCCCCCGAGAAGTGGGGCGCCTCGACGGGGCCCTCCGATCCCTACCGCCCCGGGGAGACCCTCTGTGCGCTCTTCCCAGCCCCGCGCCCAAGCCCCCTTGGCCGCAGCAGCATCGCGGTCCCCTACCAGGCCTTCTGCGGCCGGCGACATCGAGGCGCGGGGCGGGTGGCGAGACCGACCAACAGACGCGGCGCCGGGGGCCAGCAGACTGGCGGACAGACCGCAGCCGGCGCACAAGCAGCCCTCCCCGTCGCCCCGCCTGCCGGTGGCCCCGCTGCCCCGAAAGGGACCACCACCAGGGGGCGGTGCTCTTGCCGCTGCGGAGGACCCAGACACCCTCATCTGGGGTCCCCACGCCCCCCCAACGAGGGCGGTTGTTAACAGCGTTTGACGAGACATTCCCAGGAGCACCATTACGGAGTCCTCATGGAACCCTCACAACAACCCATTTACAAATGAGAAAACTGAGCCTCAGAGAGGTGAATTGCGACTGGTCTGGGTCTCACACTCCCCGCTCCCCCCCCCCCCAGCCCCTGGCTCCGGCGTGCTGACTTTTAGCCTAACTCCTCATTGTGGTGTCTCTCCAGTCCCCCATCTCCTCCTGCCCCACATTTCGGACGCACCTCAAAGTTCACATGCTCCAAAGGGTCTCATCCCCCCTCCTAGACTTCACGTGGGGTCTCCCCTCCTCCCCCCGCCTCCCCCCGGGGCCCAAGTCCCAGGGCAGCACTCTCCACTCCCTCTCCCTACAGTTCCTGCGCAGGTCGTCCTCCCCTCCCAGGACTGCAGCAGAAGCTCGGTTCTCCCTCCAGTCTGTCCTCCCACCGCCCAGTCTTCTTCCTGAAGCCCTAGCCACGTTCTTCCCCTGCTGGAAAACCTTCCCAGGGACTCCACACTTCCTTCTGAAAAAGAACACACCGAAGTCTAGCCTGGTGTTGGACCTCCATGCCCCACTTGCCTTCGTGGTCCCCCCTCACTATATTCCTCACCCCCAAAGACCCTCCCTCTCACCCATTCAAATGTTGCTCCATCCCTCCCACCCCCACCACAGGGTGCCTGACATGGAAGGAGGGAAGTGTAGGGAAGAGTCTCCAGTGCTTGGATCCCAGCCTCCTCCTGCTCCCCCAAGCTGTACGCATGTAAACCCAAGCGGGGGAGCCCTTTCCCTGCTCTGCCCTCTCCTCCAACCAGCTCCTTAGTCGGAAGTTATTTCATCAGGAACTTTTCTAGGAACCCTAGACACATGGATCTTAGAGGCCAATATGCTGGCTCCTGGGCCTCTTCCCAGAGTCTGATTCATTTAGTCTGGGCAAAGTCCAGCAACCCTCATTTTTGACACACAGGGAGGGAGCCCCAAGCCCCAGAATCACACTGTGAGAAGCACTGGGAGGGGTTAAGTACAAAGCCCCAGGACCCAGGAAGGCTGCTGGTCAGCAGTGAGAATGGGAAGAGATCAGCCCCTCTGTGTCTCGGTTCTCCTTCCTATAGCATGTGCGACTGTGGGTGCCCTGAGACATCAGCGCAAAGATTTAGCACCGGGCTGGCCCCGCAACCAGCACTCAAAAACGTCCATGTAATGACAACTGGAGGTGCAACTTTCTTGCCCCCAAATCTCCCCAGCCCCCACCCCCCCACCCATGAGTCAGGGTCTGGCCTTGGGGACTGGGAGTCATACGCTCTCAGAGCCTCCAGCAGGCCTGCCTTCCCAGGAACTCCACATGTAAACACAGGCCCAGGCAGATGGGTCCCCATGTCCTTGGGGAAAAGAATTCTGAGGTTTCCTTGAGAATTAGCCACTCAACTCCAGATGAGTGACCCCACCCAGAACCTTCAAGGTCCAGGCTGCTATCGTAGCATAGATCAGACGGAAAATGAGGGGTAAGCAGTGTCACTGGGGAAAGCCCACCGTGGGGTCACAGGCAGCATTTAGCATGTGATAAGCATTGTTGACACCTGGCCCCATCCCTTCATCACACTCGCACGCGCGCAAGCACAAGCCCCACTGTGCACACACTCTGAGCATCCTGAAAGCCACGGTGGACCCCTTGGAGGTGCTCAGAGCCCAGGAAAGAAAGGAAAGACCCATTCCTGCCTTAAAGAGGCAGAACGGCTCCTGCCAATCAGGAATTCTTACAGCTGGCTGCCTCATTCACGGTATTAACAGCAATCAAAGACCAAGCCAGGCTAAATAAAAGGGTAGCCCCCCAAAAGGAGAGGCGCACTGTTCAGAGGGCCCAGACTGTCATGCCAGCATGTCCCAGGGCCCATCAGAACCTGAGGACATCCTGCTACCTCCCTGCTCTCTCCTGAGGCAGCTTCTCCAGGGCCATGTCCATTGGGGATACCTGCAGGGCTGAGGCCTGGAGTAAATGCATCCCAAGTTTCCTGGGTGTACACTTCAGTCTCCTGACCCTGGCTGGTGGGCATCTGCCCAGACCAGGGTATTCTGGGCCCTCCTCTGCACAACAGCAAATCTGCCAAGGGAGTGCCTCTGGGACCCATGGGAGCCATTGGGGAGATCTCTCAGGTCCTGGAGTCTGTGCAGGGCTCACAGGGCCTGAAGTATATAATTAGCCCCATAGCCCTTCCTCCCCCTGCTGACTCCTGAGAGCCACAGAAGGGCAGTTGCCCCGAGCCAGGTCTTCACCAACATCACCTGAGCAGCTCCTGGAACATTCACTGTTCACCGGAAGTCCCCATCCCAGCCCCTCCCCTTGCTCTACTGCCTACAGAGACCAGAAGAGGAGGATGAGATGAGCCTGGGGACACTGAGGCATTGGATGGGAGGGAGGGACTGCTCTGTAGCCTAGGCAGTGGAGACGGCCCAGAACCCACCGGTAATCGGGCTCAGCAAACATGGAGAGCCGGGTACGGCAAACATCTGGAGGGGAAAGAGTTGCCACACTTACCTAGGAACTTCCCCAGGTCCGACACCTCTCACCTGGCTCTGCTTGGCTGGACCTGGGCCAGGCCATGGCCAGGAGTGAAAGGAAAGGTCTGAGCCCCTCCAGAGTGTGTGTGTGTGTTTGGCGGGGAGGTCCCCAGTGCAGGGGCTGGGATTGCACCCCACCCAGTAAACCATGCAGCTTGTGTGTGGCCATCCACACTCCCCAAGCCCCCAGGCCTGGATCTGCTCCCAGAGACCAGCACACTCCCAAGGAGAGAGAAGGCAAAGGAAGACAGGGGGGAGTGAAGCCTGGATGAGAATCCTTGTTCGCACTGCTGCAAGCTGGCTGTGTGGGCCTAGACCAGACACTCTGCACTCCAGACCCCAGCTTCCTGGTCTGCAAAACAGCAAGGACAGCACCTGTCGCTCAGGATGCTGTGAGGATTACGCAAGATGACGTGGGTTAAAACCCACAGGCTTGACACACTCAAGAAATGGTAGCCGTAACTATGCTCGGAATTCTCTGGAAGATATTAGAAAGCTGCCAGGAGTCAGGGCTGGGGTGGAAGCTGAAGGACAGAAGAGCTTGTTCCGCAGGGTTTGGAAGGGCAAGGTCCCCCAGCAACCCGGGGCAGGAGAGCTACATCCCAGTGAGAAGGAGGAAAACGCAAACTTGTGGGGAGTCCGGCCACAGTGCAGAGACCCAGGCCCTGTGGCTGGACCTCGGGGACCAGCGGCCGAGGAGACTTCCAGTGATCATCACCTCTGCCTCTCCTGCCCATAGACGGGGACTCTTGGGGGCGAATTGTTTGACCCCTTGCCATCTGAGGGCCATGCAGCCTGGCTCTGAGCCATCCCAGTCTCTCGGGCAGGGTCTGGGTGCAGAGTCAGCCCCCTTCTCCCCCAGTGGCTTACTGGTGCCCCAGGCCCCGAACTCTACTTGTGGCCAAAGGGAGGACAGGCTCAGGTTACACATCGAGAGGGCCAGAAAATGCCTGGGTCTCTCTTGTCCTCAGTCTGTGTGTCCTTCATGCCACCCCGGGGTGGGGCTGGATGTTACTGGTGCTCCCGGTACCTGTTCGTCCACACAGCCTTCCTGGTTAGCAAGCCACTTTCGGAGGCATCATAGAGGCCCCTTCTGGGATTTTCCCTTTTATGAGTGCTCACGGTTAACTCAAAACAGAAGCCCCTGTCCTCCTGCCAGTGACGGGTGTTGGAGGGCTTGGGGACTCGTCGGTCCACAGTGCTTTGCTTTGTTTACCTTCGTGTTTTTGTGTTTCCTCTGAGTTGTTTTCTATCAGCATAATTTGAGAGTCAGTGGTAGACATAATGCCCCTTTACCGCAAAATACCTCAGTTCTGGCTCAGCTTCAGTGTTGCATGAATATCATTAATTCCACCTCGCCATCAGCAGGGGTGTACCAAGGGGTGGGGTGTGGAGAAAGCAGCCAGCCGGGAAGGAGTAATATCTTCTCACTTAGCACATCTGATAATAGAAAGCAGACAACGTTTAGTTGGTCTGATTACTGTTTTACATTTTGTCAAGGTTATTGCCATTCCCAAGGCAGACTGCTTCCACAGCCAACAGATACAAAAGCAGTAAATATTCAAAGTGCTAGTAAACAGAGGCTCAGGATTCCCAAGGAAATAACATTGAATTGGAGAAAATAAATGACAAAACCTGCAGGTAGTAGAAAAGGACAGTTGCTCGTGTATATGGAATGAGTCTTTCTAGGGTTATCATGAGGTAAGTGGAAGATGCTGGGCGTATCAACCAGCAACCATTAGACGTGGGGAAAGGGACGGAACACGGAGACACTGAGAGTGTGTGCTGGAGGGCTGGGCATCAGTATGGGCACGGTTGGCCCAAAGTCAAAGGCAGGAGTCTGAGCCCTTGAAGGCAGAGAGTCGGGAGATGGTACTGCTGAAATTCTTGTTGCAAGCGATTGTGGGCTCATGTGCCAGATAAGGATCTTGTTTTGCAAATATCAAAGCTGGTTCTGGCTAATTTAGGCAGAATTTCCTGAAGACTGTCAGATAGCTGGAGGACTGGGGAGGCTACGTGGCTGGACCCACCACCCCAGACATGCAGCCAAAAGTCCTAGTGGTGTGGTCCTGCACCTGCTAGATGAGGGCCCCAGCCTGGGACCACATCCCGACTTCTTTAAGGCACTTGCCTGGACTCCCTGCCCTGGGTGAGTGAGACCCGGGAGGCTGTGAACTTGGATCCTACCCTGGAGTTCTCACTGCTCCGTACAGGTGAGCCTTCGGGCCTTCTGGAGTGGAGGAAGGCAGATTCCCACTCAGTGGCTCATCCGCAGCCCCCGGCCGACAGCCCAAGTGCCAAGCAGCTGGAAC